CACGATGAAGTTCCGTCGTGGATTGGACTCCATCATCCAGAGCCGCATTGCCGAGTCCGCAGACTGTCCGGACGAGGATGACTTCGAAGGATGGTACAAGGCAGCGCAGCGGGTTGCTGACAACTGTGCTGCCAACCAGTCCTTCCACTTCGGCGTGCACTCCGGGCACTCCGGACACTCCGGACCCCTCGTCCGACCAGCAGCCAACCCCGGAGTCGCTCGGACTCCTGCGGGTGTACTCCCCGCGCCTCGGACTCAGCTCCCGCCTCTGCAACCCCACTTCCAACCTCCGCCTCCTCCGAAGGCTCTCTCACCCAGTGTCCCCATGGACGTTGACCACACCCGCTCCCGACCCGCCACCTCGCAGCTCTGCTACCGATGCGGCAAGCCCGGTCACATGTCCCACGAGTGCCCACTCTGGTACGATGTCCGGTTCATGACCACCGAGGAGCGGATGTCCGCCATTGAAGATCTTTTGACAGCAGCCGATGTTGTAGAAAGTACGGGGACTTCGGAAGGAGTAGATGATGAGGGAATGGCCCCGGTTGAGGAATCGGACACGGCGGATTTTGTCCGGACCAACACGTGATCAGTGCGACCTTGTTGGTGAATAACCAATTTGCTTGTCTTAGCGTAGACGAAATAGACGATTCCAACCACTCCGATGATTCGTCCGACGTTAAGCAAGCGACTCCGGTTACAATCCGCACACTCCGAAGGTTTCGCCCGCAGTGGGAATGGCAGCTACCCAGTAGCTATAAGATCTCTGTGCTGCCTGGCAAGCTTTCGCTAGATATACCTGTTGAAGTGCAGAGCACAGATACACAACACAGATGCACCCTGCAGGCCCTGGTGGACTGCAGAGCCACCAGAGTCTTCATGCATCCGCGCTTCGCTGATGCCCATGGTTTCACCCGACGCAAGCTGTCCGCTCCGATTCCGGTCTTCAATGTCGACGGATCACCAAATGAGAACGGATCTATCTCCGAAGTCGTGGACCTTGTACTCCGGTTCAAGGATCACACGGAATGGATGCTTTTTGCAGTCACTAACATCGGACGGCAGGACATCATCCTCGGATACACCTGGCTTCGGAAGCACAACCCCGAGATTGACTGGCAGACAAAGGAGGTGACCATGAGCCGTTGTCTGTCCGGATGCGATACCTGTCAGAAGGAGTTCCGCTATGACAAGCTGACCCAACGCAAGGAGTCCGTGCGGCTCCGGGAGTGTCGTACGGGTCCGATGCCAAGGGTTGAGGAACTGCACTCAGACGATCTCCCAGAGCTTCAGGACTGCGAGGATGATGATGAGGATGACAATGTTACAACTCCGGACGACTCCAGACTTGAGAGGGGTGACGGTATCTTCGTGGCTATTCCTCCTCCGACTCCAGAGTACCTTCGGAGTCTTCGGGAAGAACATATCCGGGCTTCGGAGACAGTCTCGCAGCGCCTCACATTGGCTTTCCAGCGCAACAAACCCCACGATCCTCGGAACAGCGCAGTCCCGGACTTCCTCCAGGAATTCGAGGACGTCTTCGCAAAGGAGTCCTTTGATGAACTGCCCATGCCGCGTCCGTGGGACCATGCCATTGAGCTACTGGACGGAGTGGAACCGACCTCTACCAAGTGCTACCCGCTGTCCCCGGCGGAGCAGAAACAGCTGGACGAATTCCTGGAAGAAAATCTCCGGACTGGTCGGATCCACCCCAGCAAGTCGCCCATGGCTGCCCCGGTGTTCTTTGTTAAGAAGAAGGACGGATCGCTCCACTTGGTCCAGGACTACCGGAAGCTCAACAACATGACGGTCAAGAACCAGTACCCACTCCTGCTCATCTCGGACTTGGTGGACAAACTCTGGAACACTCGCTACTTCTCCAAACTTGACGTCTGGTGGGGCTTCAACAATGTCCGGATCAAGGAGGGTGACAAGTGGAAGGCCGCATTTCGGACTACGCGCGGACTCTTCGAGCCGTTGGTAATGTTCTTCGGACTGACGAATAGCCCGTCTACCTTCCAGACCATGATGAACGACCTCTTCCGGGAGCTCATTACGGAAGGTGTGGTCATTATCTATCTGGATGACATTCTGATCTACACCAAGACGCGCGAAGAGCATCGCCGGGTTCTCAAGCGAGTCCTAGAGATCCTCCAGCGGAACAAGCTCTTCCTCCGAGCAGACAAGTGCGACTTCGAGCAGACCAAGGTGGAGTATCTCGGAGTTGTCATCTCTGAGGGTAAGATCGAGATGGACCCCGTAAAGGTTTCCGGAGTCGCGGACTGGCCGACCCCTCGGACTCGGACTGAACTCTAATCCTTCCTCGGGTTCGTCAACTTCTACCGCTGCTTCATCAAGGACTACTCGCATATCGCCCGGCCTCTCTTTGACCTCACTTGCGCAAAGGAATGGCAGTGGAACGACTCCGCTCAATCCGCATTTCTTCGGATCAAGGAGCTGATCACTTCGGAGCCCGTTCTGGTCTTTCCAAAGGAGGATCGGCCATACCGGGTTGAAGCGGACTCGTCGGATTACGCTACGGGTGCGGTCTTGTCGCAGCTGGATCCGGATGATGGTAAATGGCATCCTGTCGCATTCTACTCTAAAAGTCTACAGGCTGCGGAGCGGAACTACGAAATACACGACAAGGAGATGCTTTCGATCATCCGGGCACTCGAAGAATGGCGACACTACCTGGAAGGCGCAGAGACTCCGTTTGAGATCTGGACGGACCACAAGAACCTGGAGTACTTCATCAAGGCCCAGAAACTCAATCGTCGTCAAGCCCGCTGGTCGCTATACCTCTCCCGCTTTGACTTCACTCTCCAGCACCGTCCGGGTCGGACAATGGGTAAACCGGACGCTCTCTCGCGACGCTCGGATCATTCAGATGGTAAGGACGACAACAAGGATGTGGTGATGCTCAAGCCTTCCTACTTTGCTGTCTGTGCCACGGGTGTCACTCTTGAAGGGGAGGAGAAGGATATCCTCACGGCTATCCGGACTGGAGTGCGGAATGCGAAGTTTGAAGATGCAGTGGCAAAGGCGGCGGAGGAGCTGAAGAAGACCCAGGGCAGTCGCAAGACAGTCCGGAGCGCGGAATGGTCTCAATCGGACGTTCCGGACTCACCGGACTTGCGTCGGACCATTGTAGCCCAGCACCATGACACTAAGGTCGCAGGACACGCTGGCAGATGGAAGACCCTAGAGCTCGTTTCACGCAGCTACTGGTGGCCCAACATGTCCCAGTACGTCGGATCCTACACCCGCCATTGCGACCTCTGTCTCCGGACGAAGGCCCAAAGGCATCCGCCCATGGGTGAACTCCATCCGCTTCCTATTCCAGATGAACGCTGGGATCGCCTGAGTGTTGACTTCATTGTTGAGCTTCCGGAGTCCGATGGGTTTGATGCTGTCATGAACGTGGTCGACTCCGTAAGCAAACGTGCCCACTTCATTCCAACTCACACCACAGTGTCTGCCCTCGGATCCGCAAACTTGTACCTGCAGAACGTCTGGAAGCTGCACGGACTCCCTCGGTCCGTTGTGTCTGACCGGGGTCCACAATTCGTCGCAGAGTTCACCCGAGAAGTCTACCGGATGCTCGGAATCAAGCTGGCTGCCTCCACTGCGTACCACCCTCAGTCCGACGGACAGACGGAACGGACCAACCAGGAACTCGAGTCCTATCTCCGGATCTTCGTCGGAGAGCGTCAGGACGACTGGGCTCGCCTCCTACCTATGGCGGAGTTTGCGTACAACAACCGGGTCCATGCGTCCACTCAGCAGTCACCCTTCCTCATGGATACCGGCCGTCATCCTCGTCTCGGGTTCGAACCTCATCAGCCACCGTCTCGGATGGAGTCCGCAAACGAGTTCGTAGACCGGATGAAATCCGCAGTCGACGAGGCTCAGTCTGCATTGGTCAAGGCTCAGGATGACATGAAGCGCTACTACGATCAGCGTCGGACTCCCGCTCCGGAGTACCAACCGGGTGACAAGGTCTGGCTGGACTCGTCGGACATCAACCTTGCCCGACCCTCCCAGAAACTCGGACACGCACGACTTGGTCCTTACAAGGTCGTCCGGAAGGTTGGCAAGGCAGCGTACCAGCTCCAGCTCCCTCTGGGCTTATCCCGTCTCCATCCCGTCTTCCCCGTGGTCAAACTCTCTTCCTTCGTTCCGGACCCCATCCCGGGTAGACGCCCTGTTGCTCCGCCCCCTCCGCAGCTCGTTGACGGAGAAGAGGAGCATGAGGTAGAAGAGGTCCGGAATAGCAGACGGTTTGGTCGGGTCCTGAAGTATCTGGTGCGCTGGCGAGGCTATGGTATCGAGCACGACTCCTGGGAGCCCGCGAGCAACCTCCAGCATGCTGCCCAGAAGGTCAAGGACTTCCATGATCGTCACCTGGACGCAGTACGCGTACTCCGGACGAGTCCGATGAATCCGACGACTGCTCTACCTCTCCGGATGACTCCTGCGGCACTGGACCAGTCCTGGGAGCGTTGGCGCAGTCGGAAGGCTCCGGGCTCCGCGCAGTCGTACTTCGACATCTTCTCGCAGCAATCCGGAGTTTCGGGGTTGGTGAATTCATGGCGCGGCAGGCAGGAATCTTTGCGTCAGGTCGCCGCAACCTTGAAGGGGGGGTGATGTAAGGGGACACTCCTATTTTCTCCTATTCCCCCTGTCCGCCCCCTTCCTCCTTGTTCCTTTCCCCTTTCCTTCATCCCCTTTCCTTTCCTTTTGTCCCCTTACCTTTCCGCTTCCCTTGCGTTCACTCCCTTCGCATCCAAGCCCCGTCCGGTGACTCCGAAGTCTTCCCGCACTTCGGACTCGCCTTGGACTCGCTCGGACACTTCGGACTCGCTCAGACTCGTAGATACACTTCGGGGCTCGTCCGGGCTACCTCTATCCTCCTTTCCCACTTCATTACTCCTTGTCCCCACTTCCCCAGGTCGCTGGCACGACTCCTGTACATTCCCCTTCCACTTCATTATCACATGCCCCCTCGTACCTTGTGATATTCGTTTGTACCTGTGGCTGGTGTACTGTACAGTTACCCTTCATTCCTCCCACGCTACTACAGTATATACTTCGCTTCCTAGCATGGAGAATCCCCATCCTGTTCTCTTTGGATTCTCCCTCTGCTAGGTGAGCAGCTCTCTCATGTATTGTAGTTAGTCTTATTCATTTCTTTGGATTCTCCCTCTGCTAGGCTTGCACTGTGCGGCTATCTTGAGGTTGCCCTTACAGACTCCGACAAGAGTGACTCTGATGCAGGCTCTGATGGCGACTCTGGTAACGGAGCCAGCGGGTTGGGCACTGGAGGGAATTGGAGTGCGGGAGGAGGACTGAGTGAAGCAAAAACCGCGGATGATAAGTTGCTGACTACTGACGAGATCGCTGAGGCGCTTCCCTCGCTGGAATGAAAATACATAGTACCCATGGCCGCAAGCAAAACAAGAGCGGCATATTTCCAGATTGATCTGGACCTGGTGTTCGGCAGAACTGTCTCCGTGAAATGTAACACATCGCAAAACGGAGAGAATGTATTGCCATTGCTGGTCACGACGTGGGTGTGGTGCCCGCCCATGCGTGGGACATCCTGAGTTCAAGTCATATTTTGCATGTACAGTGAAAAGATATAGCTTACCAGTCGAGCAAGCATATACGTGGCTCTCGCTGTCGCCTTCATTTCAAAGGTTTTGCCGGAAGTCCCGTTCGCAAATAGAAGACCCCCAGTCAAGCTACCGCAGACAAATGTACCGCGATCGACATACGTAATATCAACTGTGGCAGAGAACTTCCGTGCAGCGAATACAGTAGAGATATGGCCGAGATTGGGTAGGGTATATGTTTCCACGCCCTTCGTAGCATGCAGAATAGTGATCTTCATATGTTGGGGAGAAATTGCTCCTGCAAGGCTGTTGAAAATGTTACTAGTAGGACCACACGGATTGGTTGTAAACTCACATCATATCATTGCAGAAGGCAAACAACTTCCAGCGTATTTCATACGAGTGAAGATCGTAGGCACTAAGGATTCCGACATGAGTTCCATTTCGTCGTCAATGATCATGAAGAACCCACATGGCCGCTGGCAGAACCCCAGGCTCGGAGACCATAAATATTACAACGACGCAAGTCACGTCAAGGATAAGCCGAATTGGGCGAGACTCAGGGGGCATTGGAATGGTTGAGTGCGCCCGAGTTCCCTGGCCTGGTGATATATCAGTATATACATCTATTTGTAAGGAGGGAAGTTCATTGCTTACGGACAACCGCTAACGAGGTTCCAAACAACAGAAAAATATCAGTTCCAGACGGCGGGAGGGCGACGTCATGAATTGCCCTTCCGAAAGTCAGAAATGAAGATGGGTCCTGTTCATGTTGACATTATTCCAAGTACTTCAATCTCTTACTGAAGGGAATGAACCTCGTGGCCGGTGTCGTGGACATCAATTCGTAGCTTATAACCAATGAGATCCCCGTTCGCAAACCCAACATATAGTTTGTTCGGTTGTTGTGGATTCCAAGCCAGGGCTCTGATGGCGACTGATTGGCGACCGCGCCTTACCATTTTCTTGCGGAATATCTCCAGGTTTTTATTCATCCAGTGGATCTGTAGAACGAACGAATTAAAAACGTTGCTCACGTCCGGGTGCGACACTCACTGTCAAGACTCCCTTCGTGTCGCCTACTGCCAGCATTTCGTGTGGGTGGGGGGATATCTTGAGTGAGCTCATGCAGGCGGCGGCGGAGCGGGTTTGCACTTGTTTCAGGGTGAGCGCACCAGAGAAAGCATAGATGGATTCGTCGACAGGCATAGCAATTGGGATTCGAGATTGCAGAGTAAACAAGGTACTATGAACGTTAATGGAATCAAAGCTAGCAATGAGGTTATATACGCAGAACACGTACAATAGCTTCCAGCCTCGTTTTCTCGAGGATATGGGTTAGATGTACATATAAACGACTCACTTTCTTGAATTTTCGATATCGAGATATCCATATATCCATTAAGATACACAAACCTCAGGCTCTTTTTGAAAGTAAAAACAGGGCTTCTCGACAACGAGAATTGCATGTTGGGTGCATGCTCACGTCGTATTGACCATGTCAAAGACCTGGGGCACTTAATATGATCAAGTTGCCGGACACAGGGATGCGTGGTGCCGTCCACGGTGCATTGGTGCGTCCGACTGATGGTGGCTGGAAAGGTTTCACAGCACATGGAAACTGTCAAATTTCCAACGAGGTTAAGTATTAGGTATGTAGAATATTAATAATGTCTCGCTGTCGAGATAATGCCCATGGGCACGCTGTCGTGCTGAAATAAATGGGTTATGTGCTGTGGGTTATGTGCTGTGCAGGGAACTTCGCCCTCTCATTGACCATCCGCTTCTGGCACCATCGACTTTGGAAAAGTCCAATTCATGGACGTTAATAGTCAGAGGAGTCGTGTGTTTAGTATGAAATTGGCGCAATTTCATGCTCAATTCACATAGATTCGGCAACTCCGCCAGAAATCGCCAGTGGGCCTCCGACCACAAGCTACATACACTCTCGTCAGAGTCGAAGCCAAAGTGCTACCTCAAGTCAAAACCGAAGCCGTAGTCAGTGTAAGGGCAACCTCAAGATGGCCGCACAGCGCAAGCCTAGCAGAGGGAGAATCCAAAGAGATGAATAAGACTAACTACAATACATGAGAGAGCTGCTCACCTAGCAGAGGGAGAATCCAAAGAGAACAGGATGGGGATTCTCCATGCTAGGAAGCGAAGTATATACTGTAGTAGCGTGGGAGGAATGAAGGGTAACTGTACAGTACACCAGCCACAGGTACAAACGAATATCACAAGGTACAAGGGGGCATGTGATAATGAAGTGGAAGGGGAATGTACAGGAGTCGTGCCAGCGACCTGGGGAAGTGGGGACAAGGAATGACGAAGTGGGAAAGGAGAGTGGAGGTAGCCCGGACGAGTCCCAAAGTGTATAGACGAGTCCGAGCGTATCCGAGGCGTCCGAGCGAGTCCGAGGCGAGTCCGAAGTGCGGGAAGGCTTCAGAGTCACCGGACAGGGCTCGGATGCGAAGGGAGTGAACGGAAGGGAAGCAGAAAGGTAAGGGGGCAAGAGGGAAGGAAAGGGAATAAAGGGAATGTAGATAATAGTCCATGGGATGAAGGAAGGGAGAAAGGAAACAAGGAGGAAGGGACAGGGACAGGGGAATAGGAGAAAATAGGAGTGTCCCCTTACATCACCCCCCTTCAAGGTTGCGGCGACCCAACGCGAAGATTCCTGCCTGCCGCGCCATGAATTCACCAACCCCGAAACTCCGGATTGCTGCGAGAAGATGTCGAAGTATGACTGCACGGAGCCCGGAGCCTTCCGACTGCGCCAACGCTCCCAGGACTGGTCCAGTGCTGCAGGAGTCATCTGGAGAGGTAGAGCAGTCGTCGGACTCATTGGACTCGTCCGGAGTACGCGTACTGCATCCGGATGATGATCATGGAAGTCCTTGACCTTCTGGGCAGCATGCTGGAGGTTGCTTGTGGGCTCCCAGGAGTCGTGCTCGATGCCATAGCCTCGCCAGCGTACCAGATACTTCAGGACCCGACCAAACCGTCTGCTATTCCGGACCTCTTCTACCTCATGCTCTTCTTCTCCGTCAACAAGCTGCGGAGGGGGCGGAGCAACAGGGCGTCTACCCGGAATGGGGTCCGGGACGAAGGGAAAGAGTTTGACCACGGGGAAGACAGGGTGGAGGCGGGATAAGCCCAGAGGGAGCTGGAGCCGGTACGCTGCCTTGCCAACCTTCCGGACGACCTTGTAAGGACCAAGTCGTGCGTGTCCGAGTTTCCGGGAGGGTCAGGCAAGGTTGATGTCCGACGAGTCCAGCCAAACCTTGTCACCCGGTTGGTACTCTGGAGCAGGGGTCCAACGCTGATCATAGTAGTGCTTCATGTTATCCTGAGCCTTGACCAATGCAGACTGAGCTTCATCAACTGCGGACTTGATCTGGTGTACAAATTCGTTTGCGGACTCCATCCAAGACGGTGGCTGATGAGGTTTGAACCCGAGGCGAGGATGTCGGCCAGTATCTAGGAGGAAAGGTGACTGCTGAGTGGACGCATGGACCTGGTTGTTGTATGCAAACTCCGCCATAGGTAGGAGACGAGCCCAGTCATCCTGGCGCTCTCCAATGAAGATCCGGAGATAGGACTCGAGTTCCTGGTTAGTCCGTTCTGTTTGTCCGTCGGACTGAGGCGTAATGTGAAACTGCCTTTGGTAGATGCTATCATCAAGAAGGGATTTAAGTTTCCCTGCTTAATATGATTTCAATCTAACGTATCCCGACAGGCCGTTACGGATGAGTCCGTAATACCTCACCTTGCTTGCCTACTTCCTGAAAGGGACGCAAAGAGAACATCGGTATTAGGCATCGATATCATGAAAGAGATTTGGCAAGACATGGAGCACACAATGCTTCCTACTTGGGTTTCTCGTGTCCCCTGTGATTGGACCTTGCTGACAGACTTGAACGCAAGCCAAACCCGCATGCTCTGCACAGTCCATCTACCCATTACCTTGATCCGTATGTGGCATGCCTCTGAGGGTCGAATGAGAGAAATATTGGCAAACTTCATGGACCTCGTTACGGCGGTTATAACAGCCAATATGCGAACGACTTCAAAGGAACAGATTGCTACCTATGACTTCCACATTACGTGTTACATGCAACAAGCCCACCAACTCTACCCAGATGTGTCCATCAAACCCATTCATCACGCTGCCCTTCATGTCGGGAGGATGCTAGAGGACTTTGGGCCTGTCCACTCACACAGCTCTCCATATTACAAGCGCTATATCAATTTTCTTCATTGCATGAACACAAACCGAAAGCCAGGTGAGTTACCCATGTCAACAGCGTAAATAGGCCCAGCTAATCTCATCCACAGGTGGCCAGCTAGAGTCGATGATGATGATGATGTCCGCACGTAATGCCAATCTCTCTGCCCTTTTGGCAGATAATACCGCTCTACGCAATAAAGTATCTGAAATTGTCGACATTCTGGCCAAGTTCAGCCGAGAGGACACACAGCGTCTTGCTCGTTTTGGCGAGTTTGAGCCTAGTTCAGAGATTAAATTAGGTCTCAAGGTAGAACTCGCACGTTTGGACGACTGTTACTATCAAAAGCTATGCAGTCAGCTCTCGGCCACTATGTTAGTCGACCGCAATCCTTCATTCTATGACGAAATTCTGCTTCATGGCATATCATACGGTTGTGCTGGTACCTCCAAAATCCGAAATAGTCCGGTTGTCTTTCATCCTGCAGCAACCACTGTCGATGCAGACACACCTATACTCGCTGGTGTCGTAGAAAGGGTATTTCAGTACACCACGCCGCTGTTCACCGGTATCTTCTTGGGTATTTGGTCCTTCCAACCAGTCGATTCGGCCCTTGACCCATACAGACAATATGGATTTGCTGGAGGTTTCCTGTGCTTCCGGAATGTTAATGATTACCATGTCATCCTGCCACCGGCCATTGTAAGGGCAACCTCAAGATGGCCGACAGTGCAGGCCTAGCAGAGGGAGAATCCAAAGAAAATGAATAAGACTAACTACAATACATGAGAGAGCTGCTCACCTAGCAGAGGGAGAATCCAAAGAGAACAGGATAAGGATTCTCCATGCTAGGAAGCGAAGTATATACTGTAGTAGTGTGAGAGGAATGCAGGATAACTGTACAGTACACCAGCCACAAGTCCGAGCAAATATCACAAGGTACAAGGAAACATGTGATAATGAAGTGGAGGGTAAATGCACAGGAGTTGTGCCAGCGACTTGGGGAAGTAAGGGCGAAGGGTAACAAAGTGGGGAAAGAGGATAGAAATAACCCGGACGAGCCCCGAAGAGTATAGACGAGTCCGAGCAAGTCCGAAGTGTCCGAAGCAAGTCCGAGCAAGTCCGAAGTGTCCGAACTGCGGGAAGACTCCGGAGTCACCGGACGCAGCTTGGATGCGAAAGGAGTGGGTGGAAAGGAAGTGGAAAGGAAAGGAAGCGAAAAGGAACGAAGGGGAATGAAGGGAATGTAGGTAAGAGTCCATGGGATGAAGGAAAGGAGAGAAAATAGGAGTGTCCCCTTACAGCCATTGTCTCACATTGTGCTTTGACAAGTATGGGAGCGGAGACTGGTCAAGAGCTTGTCCATGCCTTGCCACTGAATCAGGTATGTGATGTATCGCGCCTCTCTCTTTTTGTTGCTAACCTTTTGACCTGTATATAGCTGAGGCAATCGTCTGAGTTTTCCTAATTTCCGCACCCTTTGATGCCTTGGTAATCGCTTTCGTCTCCGAGCAAGGCAAGACATAAACCTCTGCCCCACTTCGAACCATCACACATGAATTGTGACATAAGCTGGGGCCCACGGGGAGAGCGCAGGGATAGCATATCATTGATCATCATCACCTTCGTTCTATTCGAAGTTTGGTACCTTCCAACACAGTCTGAGCTCCAATCTCTAGCCACAAACATGGTGGTAAATACCTTAATCGTAAATGATAGCTGCGGTCCCCATGCAGCTTATCAGTAAAATATCTGAATGCAGTCGCCTCATCGATTGTCGCTCAAGATGCCCAAACATCCGAGCACGATCTACTTAATGTAGGTTCGCTAATACTCCCGATTCACACCTCGCCTTTACCTGGTCTGGAAACAATTCAGGACAGATCTTGTCAGGATTATATAAATGTAGTCCGTCAACACTCCCTTCTCCATTAGCTATAGTGTTCTCAAGGAATGTTGCATATCTCCCCTCGTGTGTTGGCATTTTAGGCTCGCTCTATAGAGAAACTGAAGACTCTCTCTCTGCCAGGTCGTTCGTGCAAGTGATGCAAGCGATATCAACAGATCATCAACCGACACCGCCGAAAGGATAGGCGAGGTATGTCGCTGCGTAGTGGTTCTCAATGCCATCGCTGTCGCTGATGTGGTAGCTTGCAGTGTCCCTCGTCAATGAAGGTGATTTCTTAGATTTGGGTTTACTATATTTTCACGCCCATTCTCAATCCACCTATCTCGCAGACCACATGATGATGGTGGTGGTTGATGACGCCTTCGACACCCCCACCATCAAGTACCTCATTCGCTGCGTAGAAGAGGGCTTGCTTGAAGTGCAAACAAAGTCGTTCGCGCTCTCCAGCCGGCTGGAGACAGAGGCGCCCACAACTCTGGAAATGGTGAACTCACATCTACTCGAGACTTCTAAGGAAATGTGGTTGTCTTTGTCAACCTTGGCATTGGTACTCGACGCATTGCAGCTGTTAGATAGCTTTTGAAATTTCCCGTATTTCACCCCCGTCACATGTGTATAGTTCAACTCTTATCGATACATTCCATCACCACCAGGTTTTCATTGATGGTACGCCTGCAGGGCTTTCAACCTCAAGGACATCACGATGGTTTATGATACACCTGCAGGGCTTACAACCTCAAGGACATCATGATGTGTACATACCACAGTGATAATACTCGCAAGCATTCTCAGTGCTTTGGATTGTCTTCCTTACATTCATCTTTCCCCCGCAATCTGTGTTTGCCATGTTGCTCCTGCCTAAAGCCTACAAGGGTCTTAGTGATCATCGCAACCGTTGCATCGCTGTCAAGTGTCGATGTAAGCTCTAAACACTGTGCTTGTGGGTTTAGCTCATTCATATATTAGGTGCCGATTCAAAGAGACTGAAGAAGGCGCGGCTCGCGATACACGTACACACCATCCGGAAACTTCAACCCATCATCTGCGGCATGAGTACATCCATGTTCTATATGAGCATTGACACGATCGTTCAGAACGCATCTATCGGGTTGCCCCGGGGTTCAAGCCACACTCTGACGACTCTTGAGACATTGAGTGATCCCGTGCGTGTATCTGTTCCTAGCGAGTGTCACTCATAATCAATCATGGAGACAGCCGCCTGTTGTTAACTTAGAATATGTCAAGATGGCGGCCATTGCTGCTGTTCAAGTCTTAGTGTTGGAACGCGACTCAGATGACATTGTACAGTGGATACACCACATACTTGGTGAAGGAAGATTATTTCCTCCCTATATGTTCCGCGAGGTGGACCAAGCCTATCGTCGAAGGAAGGTGCGTAAATTCTCATTTTGCGAAAGGAGTGACTACGTACTGATGAGTAGCCGATCCTCAGGGATTCCTTCAGTCGCCCATGATATTAGCAACATACTCAGCCTATATATCACAACGTCCATATGACTGCCTACCGCTCTATATGGAAGAGCAAGATCGGGGGGAACTGATTACATCTGTCTATGCGGTAGGTCTCGATGGCCTTATGAGATAAACTGGCAACTGATATCAGTTATACTAGGTGCATTCGGCCCTCAGCCTGTACTCGCAAGGTCGCAAAGGGGATGAAGGGACCTATTTCCCTCGAAATTGGGGAAACTGTTCCAACCGCCAAAAACTCTGGATCGCTTCTCTCGTTGAGTTGCTCACTCCAGTCGACTTTGAGCATATTGTTGACTCAGCCCGGATGATCAACATCGTACCCATCTCACCCATTCCAGTGGAATCATACAACACAGCTGGGGATTTGGCTATCTTCTCACAGGACCTGCTTGTTACGGGTAAAGAAGTCGATGCTGCGGGTGCCAGTGGCCACTTTATGGGTGAAGACAGAGACGAAGACGAGTCATGTGTATCTGACAACGCCTATGACCGTTTCGGCAATCAAAAACCGCAGAATGCGTATAGTCAAGACCTGCCAGATGGTTGGAAGCATCTTGCTATTGGCAGGTACGAAGATCTCTGGGATGAATGGAAATATCTTGGGTAGTACCATTAGTAAATAATGCCACGTTATGGGATCCTTTACCAATGTATCTTGATACCGAATTATTTGAATCATACACGACGGCTCTTGCACTACAAGGTCTCCAAGGAAGTCCGTTCATAAACATTCCTGGACATACATTGCCAAAGATGGTAGTCCATGTGCATGCTACCAAAAGCAGTAATGCAGCCAGAGCAAGCGCTCAAGCGCAGTTGATCAGTCGCAGTTTCGAAATTCGGCGAGTGCCGCATGGAGTGATGTCGACAACCTTGCCATCGAGACTGGTTGAACTCGGGGGGTCTCGCTATTGAGGTCAGTTCATGCTCTGAATACATGTTGTGCTGACTGTGTTGGTGTTGATTTGACTAATTAGGATACTATCCATGTCCTCTGATGGCATCTTATCTGTGCTGAAGGTACCGGTGCAAGCGAGCACCTAATGGCGTGCTTTGACGAGCCACAACAATCACGAAGACGGGGCTACGATTTGGACGACTCTTGCACCACGAAGGATCCCCAATCGTTACAAAATGGGCCACATCCTTCCCCACATCCTCCTCCTCTCTCCATGCCGCTCTCCACGCCTTCCATCTCTAGCCGCCATTGATATCCCCGCACCTATGATGGGTGAATGCGTGCAGGAGAAGCAGACGCGGGTGAGAACGACGAACGGGGAGGAGTACGTGTGTCAGTTAGTAAATGAACAATACCGCAAAGACGATGACGACTAGCCTTATTGCAATATATTACCTCGCGAGCACGATTGCATACGCCGAAGCTAACGTTTACGTAGATGCGAACACGGCGCCGCTGGGTTCTCAAACGAAGGAAAGGAAATCAGCAAGGGGAGTAGATCGCAAACGAAACGAAACACCTATGTAACCGTGGATGCAAACGAGAACGACGACGATAACTCGACAACAACAACAACGATAACTCGACGATGCCAACAACGAGGTGGAGGAGGAGGAGGAGAGGTGGTGAGGAGATGGATAACACGATCCGAAACCATGAAACCACGAAACCAACAAAACCACAAGACCTCGATGGAGAGACTAGAAGCAAACGACGATATAATGGGTGGACAGGTGAATGACAAACGATCGAGGACGAATGGTAAACGGTACGAGGACCGACGAACCAGCGTGGATAGAAAGAAACCAACGAGAAGAAACTCGACGCACAACGAAGGGAATACACACCAATGAACGAGAACGTGCATCATCGCGATCACCACCACATCACCACCGTCGTCGTGTTCGTGTTCCTTTCGATACACCCCCAGTCGAGTTGCACGAACGTTAACGTTGAGCGTTGTGGCGATTGGCGAGTCAAACACGGCGACTGGAATGCGAGTGCAAGACCATGAAGATGACGAGGATTACGGATACACGGATAGAGTGTAGGGAGAGAAGAGAGAGGAAGAGGAACGTAAAGAGAGAGGGACATACAGATAGTGAAGTGCGCATAATCAGGATGTTGACGCCATAAGCAGTCCCGCCAACTTTGGCGTGAGAGTTCAACGCCGTAAGCAGTCCCGCCAGCTTTGGCACGCAAGTTCGACGCCGTCATCGTGCCCACCTCTCACCACCATCATCATCAGTACAAAGTAAGTGGTGCACCACTCTCGACCTCATTTTCTAACACATTTCAACCCAGCATCTCAAAAAAACAAACATGCGAGCTTCGTATTCGCCTAACACTCCACGCCCTGTCGCCTGGCTGGCCTTTGTAGAGGTCCTGGTACGCAATTTCGGCGTCCTTCACCCTATGGACAATGTTGTCATTGTGTAAGTGTTCTGTATTCTTTTCTACTACGCTAACACACACCAATTTGTAGTGACGCTTCCGTGACGCCTGCAGGCGCATTATCGTCATCTATCCACGTTTTTCGCGGCCAAAACGGCGGCGATTGGATTCTAACCATCACAATCGACGATGACAACAACAATCTGGTATCCCGACGCGGGTTTGGGCACCAGGTAGTTCCGTTCAACCCGCAGGATTACATGGAAATTGATCCTTTCCATGTATTGATCGCGTACACCATTTGTCTTTTTTTCTTGTAGCACTTGGCTTGCAGCTATAAATTCATCATACAACCTATGTACATTATTGTGAATACATTCTAGTATATTTTCAACGTAAGATCTCCTATGATACTTAGAATACTGCCTTCGTCGATATGCGGGAGATATCGTAGTTTACATCCTAAATACACGCTATCAGGGATACGTTAACTATATCAGGAATGATATTTAGAATATCATCAGGTTATCTCCAACAGATAAAGAGCTCATGATAATCTGAATACTAACTGTGGTGATTTTTAGAATAACATCTTCAAGATCATCATGTTATTTTTGTAGGTGGAAGGCTGGTATTAATCTCATTTATTCCCCCATAATACCAGTGCCAATACTTGAGAAATATTTAAATTACAACTTGGATTGATATGATAATATATATTTTGAACAATAAACTGAATTACTCTACAGTATCTATGGTGGGAATAAGCAGAAGTGTGTTGTTTTACCCTCACAGTACCATCTCCGTATCACTTGTGCTTTTATGGGCATTTGCCCGCAGTGTGTACAGTACACCAGCCACAAGTCCGAATGAATATCACAAGGTACCAGGGGGCATGTGATAATGAAGTGGAAGGGGAATGTACAGGAGTCGTGGCAGCGACCTGGGGAAGTAAGGGTGAAGAGTAAGAAGCGGGGAAGGAGGACAGAGGTAACCCGGACAAGCCCCAAAGTGTATAGACGAGTCCGAGCGAGTCCGAAGTGTCCGAAGTGAGTCCGAAGTGCGGGAAGACTCCGGAGTCACCGGACGTGACTGTAAGGGGACACTCCTATTTTCTCCTATTTCCCCTGTCCCGCCCCCTTCCTCCTCGTTCCTTTCCCCTTTCCTTCATTCCCTTTCCTTTCCTTTGTCCCCTTACCTTTCCGCTTCCCTTCCGTTCACTCCCTTCGCATCCGAGCCCCGTCCGGTGACTCCGAAGTCTTCCCGCACTTCGGACTCGCCTCGGACTCGCTCGGCAGCTCATGCTGTAAGAACAATGCATTAAATTCCCTTCCGCGGTTGCAGGTCCATTACAATGTTTGCCAGGGCTGGCTGGTGTAATGCATTATGGCCCTTATAGGTGCGCTGCGTAATGCATTATGGTCTTTATAGGCGCGCTGAGTTGCTAATGCTTATTGCGATGTTTCCACGCTTAATCTAATCAATCTTAAGGATAATCAATGATCTCTGATTGTACTTGATTATCTCAGAGTGATTATCTTATTTTCTAGTACTTGATTATCTCAGTGTGATTATCTTATTTTCTCATCTTTCAGATCTCTCACGGATCAAAGTCATGATTAGATTGTGATACAATGTAAACGGAACGGGAACGGAACGGGAACAAAACAAGATAACAGAATGAAACAAGACAATAGAACGAAATGCAGCAATGGAGCAGAATGTGAGCAGAATGTAGCAATGGAATAGGAGTCGAAGGTGGGCAGATGGTAGGCAAACGAATAGGCAAACGAATAGAATGATGATCTTACAGCATTTGCTCCAGGTGCAACGCCCAAGTAACGTCCGCAACGGCCTTGTTCCAGCTCTTCAATGCAGGGGATGTCTCAGGAGTCAATCCCCTCCACCACCACAAGCAAACGATGACGTTGATCATACCCTTGTGCCCAGTAGCACACATGGACTCCCAATCCCCTGAGCCAGCCTTCTGCAACGTTCCGTCGGGAGCCTTTATACGCCAATCTGGATTGAGCTCAGCCCACCACTTCCACCACTGCTTGGCGAACGCATCAACATCGGTAAGGCTGGCCGGGGTTCTGTGGTAGTAGCGTGCCGACTTGATCCAATTGGCTACCTCTGCTGGCCATGTGGATGAATCTGGAAGTTTAACGTCCTGTACTCGTTAACAATAATAAGCACCTGCAGGAGAAATATATATGCTGTTACTCACCCCTGCCTGAAAGTTATTTAGCGCCTCTACGGTTTCCCAAGCCTGTAGAAGGGATGTCCATCTAGGCCCGTAGTACTCGTTGTGGTGCCGGTTCTTCTTTTCGGCATCCGTAAATGCATTGTAGGCTTTCGTGAACCATGCCGGTCGAATGTCATCGGATTGAGACGATGCAGGCGCTGGATCATCGCCACCTGCCTCAGATGTGGAGTCGTCGTTGGGGTCATTGTCAGGCTGCGGGTCGTTTGGAGGAGAGTTTGGACGAGACAGGCTGGAAGTGGGAGTAGTGGGATGGGGTTGGTCCTTGTCAGGAGCTGATGCTGCCTTGCCTCTGCTTGATCGACGAGGAGTGGGAGTAGTAGTGGGATTGGGATGGTCCTCGTCAGGAGCTGATGCTGCCTTGCCTCCTCTATTCGATCGACGGGGAGTGGGAGTAGAAGTAGGATTGGGGTGGTCCTCATCAGGAGCTGTAGCTGACTTGCCTCCTCTATCCGATCGACGAGGGGGAGTAGTGGGATTGGGAAGGGAATGGTCCTTATCAGGAGCTGCAGCTGACTTGCCTCCTCTATTCGATCGACGAGGGGGAGCGGCCGGCCTCAATCTTTTTGATTCATTGCCTGAGTCGGGCACGCCTGAGTCTGGCGCATAATCGTCGTCGTCCGCAGGAGGTGTGGATGGCTCTCGAGGCCGCTTCTTTTGTTTGTCAAAGAGGCCGTGGTCCTTGAGTCCTAGTGATTGAAGAAGCCGCTCATTGCGGGCAATGTTGCTGCAGCGCTGGAGCTCGTAGTTGGAAAGCTTGGCAAGTTCCTTGATTCGTTTCTCCTGTGCCGACAGCGCAAGTTTGGCTACATCCTCCAGTAGCTCGGGTCCAACACCATCTTCTCCAACGTCAACTCCAGCATCAGCAAGTCGACGCTCCGCAAGGTCGATTGCTTTCTGCAGGAGGGCCTCGTCAGATAATGAAGCCCGGCCAGCACGTGTGGGGGCCACTGCATTGGCTTTGGGCCTAGGTTGAGTGATTTGAGGCCCACTAGGGTGGCGTGATGGAGTTTTGGCGGGCCCAGTGGCAGCGGTGACTTTGGTTGGAGAGGTGGTAGGCGTTGGCGTTGGCGACGTCCAAACATTCGAAAGTAGGCAGTAAGTCGGCAAGATCCTGCTCATTGGAGGAGCCCGCTTCTGCTCCATCTGTGTAACGTGGTGATAATGGACAGAGTTGAAAAAGCTATAGCACTTACTACCGGAAGCGGTTAGCGCAAATCGAACAAAGAGTTTCATAGCCTGCTTGAATCCCTTGGGATCGAGGGAGGGGAACGACTTCTCGTCCTTCGAATTTTCCGGCACCAAGGCTTATCTGGGATCAGTTAATCCACGTAGAGTAAGCAAGGAGAAGCTCACTAGACCGCCCGAAGCTTTTCTGGGCTGACCTCCTTGTCTTTAGGCATGCCGACAGCAAAGAAGCCGATGTAAAGGCCAGTAATTGCACGAATTCCGTCAAGTAGGGGCTGAATAGTCGGCGTTATACTTTCGATAGCCCTATTTGCAAGTAAGCGTAGTCTTCCGAAGCCGATACTAGTACTCACATTTCACGTTCGTCGGGATCCGTAACATCTTCAGTCCAGACCCCCTTGCTGTATGCCTTCAGAGTGTCATCGTACTGCTTTTGCGTCTCCTTGTTGATGAGCTCCTGAACGTCCGACGGCTCCGCACGCAGCAGTCTCTCTGCGATCTTGTTCCGTGTTGCCAAACGATAGTCTTCATGCAGGTTTAGTGTCGGCCATTCCTCGTCCAGCGTTGCGGCAACCTTTGACTTATAGGGCTCCGTCCGTTCGTAATACTGACAATCCCTAAGTCGTTGTGGTCGAGGATGGTCGGATTTACGGAGCTTATCAAGCCATGGCCCCCAAGGATCCTTGCTCGTGTTCAAGCCTAAAGAAGCTCGACGATAGTTGAACCAGTTCTTGATTTTCTACTCAACGTTAAATTAGTGTGTGACCAGTGCTATCTAAGTATAAACAACGAACCTTGACTAGCCTGTTGACGGTATCGGACTTCATGTTTGCGACTTCAGGAGTGAGCTTTGATTCTTCAAGAGCAATGTTGAACGCCTCAGGTATGTCGTCCTCCGCAGGAATGAACCAAGGGAATTTCCGAAAGTAATTGGGAAAGAACGTATTTGTAAACCAGGTTGAGACGGCGCCGCTGCTTGAGGCCTTCCGGTATTGAGGCAGCATGTCATTGAGGTATTGAAGGCGCTCCCCCTTGAAGTCTCCTTGGTTGCCACGCTTTCGTTTGCCCACGACACCAGTCAATACGTTGGTGAGTTCGTTTTCCTTCTGGCTCAAAGTTGTCTGAGACATTGTTTGAGAGTAGTGGTGGTGGAGAGAAAGGACAAGCGGAGTTGGGGTGGTGACGGTGCGTTGTGACCACTCAAACAAATCACAAACCAGGCAAGATCTTGCACTCCGTTGTTGTACCTGATCTGTTAACAAATCTGTTAACGATCTATTCGCCGTCTCAGGATTTGTTCGTGCGAGGGAACACTCATTTCTGTTCTGTTTAGTCTTAACTTATCAGGGACAATTTGTGGCTGTAGGTCCTTGTAGAATATGCTCCGTACATCATACGATCAAGTTGGATCGAGATAATGCAATATATTGTCAACCAACTTTGGAACGCAGTAACTACTATTGGGGACAGAGTAAATGGTATGCAAATTGGCGAAAAGAAACCGCGATCTAGATTATTGTGCCATGTTGAGCAGATATTAGAGCGGGGGCCTGTCGGTAGCCCAGTGAATGGCCTGGTTGTAATTGTTGCAAATGATCATGGACGTGTTGTTCCACTCTTCACATTCGAGTAGGAAAAAGGCTTGAGCACGCTCCCTATCAACAGGGTAAGGACACATTAAGGAACTTTGAATAGAAACCTACGCGTCCTTGAATACTCCGTGGTTACGACCACCACGAACTCCATAGAACGGGTTTCTGATTGTGTTATCACGTAGGATGCGGTCGGGCGGATCTACAACTCCAGTCGTTTTCAAGCGATCGCCATCTCGTCCAGCTTGATGCCACTGGGCAAAGATATTATTGGCCGAGCGCCTGTACAATAATCTCAGCAATGACGACTACCTAATAGAATTCAACTTACTGATCGTGGAACATGAAGGAGCGCGAAGGTTCAAGCCGAACCAGCCAGAAAGGGCCATCATTGGCATTTGAGGAGAGATAGAAATCGGATGCATGATGTTCTGGCGCTGCGGCGGGTGGGGGAGTGACGTTCATTTCGCCGAAGGGGGAAGGAGGCGACCGTTGCTGAATATCTGTGAATGGGGACAAGGGAGCCAACGAGGGAACAGTGGATGAGGGCTGGACGCAGGTCTCCATGTCGTCCTCAGAGGACGTTGCCTGTCGATGAAGTCTGTAGTGTGCCGTACGAATCCGTTGACTACGTTGCGCCAACCTATCTCGACTTGGGCCTGTACGACATGGAGTGGGTGCATCGAAGTCAACATCAGAGGGACGCGAGGAGTCGTCCAAGTCCAGCGAGGGGTGTTCCGAAGCAGGGGGGTCGGTTGCATATGACGGGGGGGCCTCTGGGGAGGGCGGTACATTCTCCCAGAGATCAATAAACCCCTGAGGATCGTTGTCGTACACGATGCCCTCACACATTCGTGCAAATATCTTGTGGAGCGGCCACGGCTCGTGACGATTGGGAAGGGCTCCATGCCGTCCATCCGTGTGGTTTTTTTGGCAAAACTCGTCGTGCGCTCGACCCAGGTCATCTGCGTTTGCAAAGGATCGAACCTGGACACCCCTTGACTCGAGGTAGTTGATGATTCCACTTAGCACTTGGTTAAAACAGAGTACGGCAGATAGAAAACGAGAAGACGTACCGATCCTTCTCAAAGAAGACTTGGGCAATTTTCCCCCAAGTCAGATACAGGAAGGGGCCTGGGAGTCTTCTGAACGGAACACTCTTGTCGCGACCAAAAACGAGTAGTCTGCAAGTCGATGGGGATTGAGACATGATGGCAGTAGGTCAAAAAGAAAAGACGATGATGTTGAATAGCGTGGGTGCTGAGATAACGGTCTTGAACACTGGAGGTATTTATGTGATCCTGTTCAAGGGTCGCCCGGTTGGGACAAGTCTTGAATTTGGCTAAGTCGCATCCTTTTTGAATCACACATTAGGGGTACTCGCTATCAAATATGTTCAGTATTGTCAACTGGGGTGTACGTCAGTTATGTGCATTCCTAAGCCCTACGTACCAGTGAGCCAGACTCATTTATTCCTGCGAGAGGACAACTGGATGCAGCCGGTGGAAGCTAGGCTGAACTTGACGCCAACGATTGTTGACGAGAGACTCTGGGGTTCAAAGTACGTATGCTGGCACTTGACTGGCACTGTTAAAAATGACGAAGTAGGTTATCCCAGCCATAACTATTGAGTCGTTCACTCACCTACAGAAATGCTCCACAGAACGCAGTTCTGTTGTCGAGCCTGGATTATCTCGACCTTCAATTCCCCCTCCCTTCCCTTCATCCCTTCATCTATTGGATTCCCTCGACTCCACCGTGCGTATTTTTCTTCACGGCGTCGATATCTGAAGTGCAAGTGCATGTTAGCGACTGACTACGAAACGAGGTTGCAAACACGAACCTTGTTTCGTAGTCAGGTAGACGCTAGACACTTGCCACCCAATCTGCATATGGCTTGTGGGACGTCGATCGCGATTCAAACAACGGTGAGCGATCTCTGTTGGATTCGACAGAGTACAGGTGGAAGCTTGTAGTTAGTTCCGATGATGTTGGTCAAGTTGGTCAATCGGATCATTCCAGGTCGTTGCATTATTATTGGGCACTACAACCATAATTCACTGTGTGCCACCTTATTGCATTTTGCCACTACTAACAACATTCTACAGGGATCTATCAAATCTATCGAGCCCCCTTTCCCATCGATCCTGTCCATCCTGCTTGGGGTTCTCAAGAGGTGCACAGTCAAGATTTCTCCGGAACCCATTTTCGACCCATCGAAATATACCTCCCGCCGTATACTGGGTGATTGAAACTCGCTCCTCCTTTGGTTGAATGGGTACGTTAGAATGTCGAAGTAATGCGGACGGTATTAACATGGTTGCACCTGGAGGAAACTCCAGAGCTCCCATAGTATTAGATGCCCCCCTTTCTTCGGATCGAAGTTACCCAGTGCGGTGATTGCACACAGTCCCGTCGCGAGATTGACACAGTCAGTGTGATCCACACATATAGTATGGGGGCCAAGGTTAACTGAAAGACATGTGAAGTCGCTGTTCTGAACGTTGCGCTTGAGCTCCGGCTGGGACTCAATGAGCTTGTCCAGTGTTTCCCTATAGTATAGGCCTTGCTTCGGTGCAATGGTGTGGAGCAATTTCGATTGCATTCCAGCAATTCGTCTGACGTTGGGGTTATCAATAATTGCGTCCATCGTGGCCGCATTTCTATTTGAACTTCGTAACAGCATAGGTCTACGCTGACCCCCACCGTACGATATTCCCTTCGTCAGTGCAGGAAATCTCCCCCTCCTGTGATTCAACTCCTTGTGGGTGAATCGACACCCCCTCTGTGCGCGAATCACAGCCTCAAACGCATCCGTAGTAACTTGAGACCATCCGGGGGCTCGGGGGCTTGCACCGCCTGCAAAAATTCGCCCCTGCTCATCTACCAGAAGAAACCCATTCCTGTGGAACTAGGTGAGTTTTTTTTTGCTTTGGAAGGGGCGGCTTTGGCTTACCTTGGATCCCAGGGAAGAACTTTGAAACCCTGCTTCGCTAGCTCGGCGACCTGCCCATTGGGGGAGTGAATACGGTCGCGAACACCAATGTAAGCTGTGGATGCTCGGTTACTGTCCCTGGCGCAAAACTGCGTGGTTATTTGGTGGTTTTGAGCCCTGCGTCGAGTGGCAACCGCCTTTACGGAAGTTCCGGCCTGCGCTAGCAGCCTCTCGCGCTGGTCTCGGCATTTGGCTCGTTTGTTCTGCCTATTGCGTGCCTTGGAATTCAATTTCTGAACCCGATCTGGATCGCTCACCCCTCCGCGCACAACGATGTGTTCGTCTACGCCACTCGCCGCGTTCTCCATCGACGGGCTATCTGTGCCGCTCGCGTTATCCATCTCCCTGCGGGCAACAACATGACCGTTTACGCCACTCGCCGCATTCTCCTTCGACGCGCCATCCCTCGCGTCATCCATGCAACCAACATTCTCTGCTCCATCAGCGGGAACATCAGGGTCCGCATCTGACTCCAAGTCGGTGAGATCGGATTCCTCGCCCATCTCTGATAAGGCGTGCAATTCAGACCTGGGGTCTTCAAGGTTTCCCCTCGCGACCGCCGCGTCCAATAAGTTGTGCAAGTCGACTGACGTGTCGTACCGCACAGGCAGTTCCCATGGAGAAAATACGGTGCCAGATCTCGTCTTGCGCTCTGAATAGGAACGGCAAAGGTTAGTAAATTGCATTGCATGTGTTCAGAAAAGGGAACTAATATAACAAGGGAAAGAAAAAGTTAAACGCCGCTCCGGCGCAGCGAAGGAAGGTGCACTCCTAGCTCCAAGGTCGGAGCCCGGAGGCGTTTGAAGGAGGTAATGTGAAGCTTAAACAGAAATGCTTACCGCCGCTCATTCCTTCAACCTCAGGCCTCAGTGGCTTGTTGGCAATAATTGACTTGGCGATGTGGGTTGAAAATAGTGTCACGGGTCCGCGTCAAGGTGCCGCTCAAGCAACAACAAACAACCGTGCCTCGCACCCCTAGCATCCTCCTAGCTGCTACCATCGAAGATCGGATTCCTCAGAGAACAATCAGCGGCGAACTAAGTAGCAATATTCTCTGCAATACGTGACTAACTGACACCGCAGAGGGTAGCGTGTGTTGAATCTCCCGTTTCCATACCCTCATTTGGACGCCAGCGATCCATTCTACACCATCCTATCAGTGAAATGGCTATACACGACATACCTGACTGCATACTGTGAGTGCGCTCTCTACAACCCAAAAAATCCACACACCCACCATGTCTCGACGCAGGAACACTAAGCGAAAGCGCGCCAATGATGTCTTCGAAGTTGACATCAACGACATACTCAACAACGAGCCATTCGTTGCATCCATCGGACGAGTCTCTGCTGACGGACGCCGTGTCAGGAATGAGGTAGTCTCCTTGCCCATTTCGAATGAGGTAGTCTCCCTGCCCATTTCGAATGAGGTAGTCTCCCTGCCTAGGAAGCAGGCACGCTTGGATCCTCCTAATGTCCTGGCCGCATCATCTAATGGATTCGACTTCACCTTCTGTATGAACGAAGACTCATGGAAGTTTGAAGGCAATGAAAAAACAAAGGCAAGACGCTACACATCATCGGTACGTACTGCTGGCTTACTATACTGTTTTTGTGGAGCTGACAATCCTTGTGGCTAGGACGATCCTCTCAAGGAATGGGTACCGGTGGCTGGTGAGTTTCTACTTGAACTCATGAGGATTGAGGGGCCAGGCTGCTCGTCCCTCAATACTTGCGGATCCTGCAAGAAGGTGCCGGTCGAAGAGGAGCAGTCCCTGTTCAGGTGTCGCGATTGCTTCCACTCCACCCTTTTGTGTTCCGCCTGCTGTATCAGAAAGCATGTTGAATGTCCCTTCCACATTATCGAGGTGCATAAATATTCCTGTTTCATTGGCGGTATTACCAGCTGACGAAATTAGAAATGGAATGGAAAATGCTTTCTGCGCACCTCACTCAAGACTATCGGCTTACGGGTTCAGCTTGGACACTCACCAGGGGACGCTTGCTCTCATCCTGCGTGTGCCTCCAATGTTGTTGTGCTTCATACAAACGGTATACACCAAATCGCGGTCGACTTCTGTGCCTGTGAGCACGTCGGTACATATGGTTTAATGAGGCAACAATTCCTTCGACACCGGCTATTTCCCGCAACCATCGACCAGCCTCAAACATGCTCAACGTTTTCACTTCTCGAACATTACCGCATGCAAGCACTCCAAAGCAAGGTTACCATGTACGACTATTACATGGCATTGGAGAAGCTCACAGAAAACAGAGGGTTTGCTTCAGTTCCCGTAGGTCTTATTTTTCATCTAGAACTTGATGCTAACAATTCATCTCTAGAAGCGCTACAAGGAGTTCGTACGGATGACTCGTCAGTACAGATACCTTACAGCCCTGAAGCGAGGTGGCAGGGCACACGTTCCATCTGGGATCTTGGGTACGGGTAATGGGGAGCTGGGAATCCAATGCCCTGCGTGTCCTACGCCTGGTGTTAACTTACCTCTTGATTGGGAATCAGCACCCCCAGACCGAAAGTACGTCAACCTAAACTGCGGAACAGTTCTAACATGAAGTCCTAGATTTCTCTATACTCTTTTTCTGGCCCTCAACGCTTGTTTTCGACTCAAACGTCGCATCGTCTCTTCCGTCAAGAAAGATCCTGGGTTGGGCATCGATTGGAGCTACTTTGTGGAAAATGAACCTTTCCGACGGTATATATTAACAGTAACTGATCAAAAGGAGGTAAGCACCGTCATCCCGACGGATGGGTGAAGTACTGACATACCAATGAGATGAGCACGTGCAGTGGGTTGGCCGCTCTCGGCTACGCAAATACTAAGTTTTCACGAGGGTATGCTGCTACCGGGGTATGTCTTGGAGTGTGTGCCCGACACGAGATCATACAAAGGAATGGCACAGCAGATTTGCAAGTTGGAGAAAGGTGAGTTATGTGATTGACTTTTAACAGTGTTGAATTCCGAATCAATACAGATACTGCAACATGGACTATTGCCTCGCATCCCTCCTCCGTCACCATGATCCAAAGCTAAACAAGCTCGTATCCTATGATATCGTGTGTCAATGGTCGAAACACGTTTTGGAACGACTTCAAAAACTTCCACCACTCGTCAGGCTTAAAATTGCCTCAAACGCCATCCGCTTCGCGATTCCAAAACTGCATATCCATGGTCACACCCAGTTCTGCCAAAGAACGTACTCCTTAAACTATCTGCCTGGCGTTGGGCGTACCGATGGTGAGGGTATCGAACGGCCATGGGCAAACATCGTGGCAACTTCGACTAGCACTCGCGCAATGGGACCTGGAGCTAGGATTGAGACGCTGAACGACCATTGGAGCCATTGGAACTGGCAGAAGATTATAGAGATGGGTGAGCATGCTCTCGTTCATTGCCTTGTCTAACTCTAACAAATTAATATCAGGTCAACTTTTTGCAAAACGTCTTCGACTCGCGATTGCCGAGCGTGAAGTTCAACAAGAGTCCTTTGAGATATTCTCATCCAAGCAGGCCGAACGTATAGATACATGGAAGGCTATGGTATCGGCGTTCGAAGCTGATGGGAGCAAGCCAAACCCGTACGAAATACCATCACATGGTGAGTTCAGTTCTTGGCTGTGCTCCTTTCTCATGCATTTCGTTAGGGATTACGGAGGCGGACGTTCAATTGCGGTTAGCCAAGTTGGAATCAGAGGATGCTGGAAAGGGTGTTCCTGCATTGCATGAAGTGGGCCCGAGTGGCTTCATCGTTGAGGGCTTGGAGATTGAGGAGACACAGTACGTTATCAAGTCACTGTGCCTGATTCTGACATTGACTTCTCGAGAGGCGATGAATTTCTGCATACGTCAAGAAGGCCTCGGGGTCTGCTCAAAAACTCAACGGAGTCGACATGCGAACAAAGCTTACTCGCTCCCTAGCACGGCTTAGAGTCCTACAGGGCATTTACACCCCATGCGTCATTCACAAGCTCACTACTCGCGACACCCCAGATGAGGAGGAGGCTGAGTCCTGCCCTCTGCTCCTGCCCTCTGCCCTTACTCCCGAGGAACGTCTCACATGCGCTCCAGGCCTCGTCCAGATAGAGCAGGAGTTACGGGATGCCCAGTGCCGGTCGGCGCTCAACGAGCTATGCACCCTCCTCTTCATCAAGGCACGACTCGTTGGGTACAAGGACCGTAACGCAAGACACCAGCACGCAAACACCAGGGCACGTATTTTGATCGAACGAAACGAGGATCGCATTAAACTTCAAACGCAAAAGTACCAGGCTGCATGGCGTGCCTTGACGAACATGTCACACGACGTGGGATGGCCTCAGTTGAAGCAGGAGCACATCCGGTGCATGGATGACCCAGATACATTAACAGAGCGACATACAAGGCTGGCACGACAAGTTGAGAAGGATGGAGTGGATACAATACTGGTGGAAACGGGTGTCAAAGAGGGTGACGTAGCCTGTGATGCACAGGTTGAAGGTGAGACGGTAGGAGAGGAGAGGAGAGTGGCAAAGGAGGGTTACCGGACAATTTCTTGGATCTGGGTGGATGGGGACTACTCAGAGGAATCAATGTCTGATGGGATGGATACAGGTAAGTGAGCTTTCATGGTGGTTATCAATCTTGCTGATGTAGACGATCTGTAGCTCTGAGAGTTGAATGGGCAAAGGCGTGGTCCCGTGTACGTAGATGGGAGGAGGAGGTGGATTTGTTGAGAGAAGAGATGCGTCGAACACTGGTGAGCCTTCGACATCAAGCTAGAACATGGGAAAGCAAGGCAACGAACGGCAGCGGCCCACCAGACGTCCTAGCTGGGCTGTCCGCATATGCTCATCGGCAAGCACATATTCGGTACGCACTTGCCAGTCGCTTCGAGGAGATATGGTGGGGTAAAGATACCAAAGGTGACGACGATGAAGAAGAAGAAGAAGCGGCGGGGGAGGGGGACGAGGAGTACTGAACGGAACGAGGGGTACGGAACGGAACGAGGGATACGGAACGGAGGAATCATTCTGATTGGCTAGACGATTGTTCCGAACTGTGCGAAAATACTACTATAAAAGAAATATATGATAAGAATATGATAAGATAACAATACTATGATAGTACATAATGATAACATTGGCTTGATAATGATAAGATCATCATAGATCAACCCAGATACAATAAGATCAGTGATAAAACGATAAGATCAGTGATAAAACGATAAGATCAGTGATAATATAAGCCAGAGATAATAATATGATAGAGATAAGCCAGAGATAAGCCAAATTTGGCCGGGTAGGCAAACATTGTAATGGACCTGCAACCACAGTAGCTACATATTGCATTGTTACTACAGCCTAAGGTGCGCTCGGACGCTTCGGACTCGCTCGGACTCGTAGATACACTTCGGGGCTCGCCCGGGCTACCTCTATCCTCCTTTCCCACTTCATTACTCCTTGTCCCCACTTCCCCAGGTCGCTGGCACGACTCCTGTACATTCCCCTTCCACTTCATTATCACATGCCCCCTCGTACCTTGTGATATTCGTTTGTACCTGTGGCTGGTGTACTGTACAGTTACCCTTCATTCCTCCCACGCTACTACAGTATATACTTCGCTTCCTAGCATGGAGAATCCCCATCCTGTTCTCTTTGGATTCTCCCTCTGCTAGGTGAGCAGCTCTCTCATGTATTGTAGTTAGTCTTATCATTTCTTTGGATTCTCCCTCTGCTAGGCTTGCACTGTGCGGCTATCTTGAGGTTGCCCTTACAGTGACTCGGATGCGAAGGGAGTGGGCGGAAAGGAAGTGGAAAGCAAAGGGAGCAAAGGGGAACAAAAGGGATGTAGGTAAGAGTCTGTGGGATGAAGGAAAGGAGAAAATAGAGGTGTCCCCTTACATCACCCCCCTTCAAGGTTGCGGCGACCCAACGCGAAGATTCCTGCCTGCCACACCACAAATTCACCAACCCCGAAACTCCGGACTGCTGCGAGAAGATGTCGAAGTATGACTGCACGGAGCCCGGAGCCTTCCGACTGCGCCAACGCTCCCAGGACTGGTCCAGTGCTGCAGGAGTCATCTGGAGAGGTAGAGCAGTCGTCGGACTCATTGGACTCGTCCGGAGTACGCGTACTGCATCCGGATGATGATCATGGAAGTCCTTGACCTTCTGGGCAGCATGCTGGAGGTTGCTTGTGGGCTCCCAGGAGTCGTGCTCGATGCCATAGCCTCGCCAGCGTACCAGATACTTCAGGACCCGACCAAACCGTCTGCTATTCCGGACCTCTTCTACCTCATGCTCTTCTTCTCCGTCAACAAGCTGCGGAGGGGGCGGAGCAACAGGGCGTCTACCCGGAATGGGGTCCGGGACGAAGGGAAAGAGTTTGACCACGGGGAAGACAGGGTGGAGGCGGGATAAGCCCAGAGGGAGCTGGAGCCGGTACGCTGCCTTGCCAACCTTCCGGACGACCTTGTAAGGACCAAGTCGTGCGTGTCCGAGTTTCCGGGAGGGTCAGGCAAGGTTGATGTCCGACGAGTCCAGCCAAACCTTGTCACCCGGTTGGTACTCTGGAGCAGGGGTCCAACGCTGATCATAGTAGTGCTTCATGTTATCCTGAGCCTTGACCAATGCAGACTGAGCTTCATCAACTGCGGACTTGATCTGGTGTACAAATTCGTTTGCGGACTCCATCCAAGACGGTGGCTGATGAGGTTTGAACCCGAGGCGAGGATGTCGGCCAGTATCTAGGAGGAAAGGTGACTGCTGAGTGGACGCATGGACCTGGTTGTTGTATGCAAACTCCGCCATAGGTAGGAGACGAGCCCAGTCATCCTGGCGCTCTCCAATGAAGATCCGGAGATAGGACTCGAGTTCCTGGTTAGTCCGTTCCGTTTGTCCGTCGGACTGAGGGTGATACGCAGTGGAGGCGGCCAGTTTGATTCTAAGCATCCATTAGACTTCCCAGGTGAACTCTGCGACGAATTGTGGACCCCGGTCAGACACAACGGACCGAGGGAGTCCGTGCAGCTTCCAGACGTTCTGCAGGTACAAGTTTGCAGATCCGAGGGCAGACACTGTGGTGTGAGTCGGAATGAAGTGGGCATGTTTGCTTACGGAGTCGACCACATTCATGACAGCATCAAATCCATTGGACTCCGGAAGCTCAACAATGAAGTCAACACTCAGGCGATCCCAGCGTTCATCTGGAATAGGAAGCGGATGGAGTTCACCCATGGGCGGATGCCTTTGGGCCTTTGTTCGGTGTCACACTCAGTGGGGTTTTCACTAAATGCTTTGGATGTAGTTGGATCAGTCAAGATAGATCGAACAGTCACCCAAGTTGTGCAGGCTGAGAGGTGTGTTATTGATAATAATGGCTTTGGAAACTATACTACCGAGTAGTACAGATAGGGGAAATAGGAGTGGAAAGGGTAGAAGGGTCGGAAGGAAAGAAAGAAGTGTAGGGTAAAACACTTCACAACACGTTAATACGAACTACTCAACAAGTGAATAATACGTAGGTAAACACAAACAAATAGTAACTGACTGAGACAAGTAGCACTGAGACGGAGGAATATTCCTGACTGAGTATACTAGCAATGCTCCAATAATACAAAACTGCGATACGACAATTCAACTGAAATATGAAGCTCTAGATCAGACGTTTCTGCTAGATCACTTCTGATATTATTACTAAACACCTATAGAATCGTTCTATAGTCTAATGCTTAGCCAGCAACAGTCTATATGAAATCAATACGACTGGGGAGCAATCACTAAAGTATAAAGACTTAGGTGTACACAAGACATGTAATCTTATTTCTCTAGCATCGGTTTCACAGGTTGAAGCACTCAATTATCAACTAATCAAGTTTATTCTTTACTATGTAACCTACAGTAATACTCTACTTAATAAGAAGTAGGTACTGCAAAAGAAAAGGAGGGAAGAGGATGAGAAATGAGGGCAGGAGAAAGAAAGATGGTAAAAAGTCTATTCTTCTATCTACTACAATTTGGGGTTTATATAGACTACAGAGGAAAGGAGGCAGTGCAATGCCAAGCATTTCAAGGCTGTGCTGAATCTCTGAATGACTCATATTTCAGCAGGAGTAAGCCAATGATTTGTAATGGCCAAGCCAAAGCTTAGTAAGTTAAGGCTTGCTGCTTAGTAAGTACAATTTTCCATTACATCCTGGAAAGTTCTATAAACTTCTCAGACATTCTACTATGTTCTTGTATGTCTTTCAAGTTATTTGAGCTTTTCATGAACAAGATCTAATGTCACTTTGATAAGTATTTGCAAAATACTAGAAGGTTCTGTAAAGTGCTTCAACTTTCGGTACAGTTCTTGTCATTTCCGCAATCTTTACTTATCATGTAACATAGTGATTTAAGACTTGTTGACTTAATAGGATGTTGGGATATTAATTAGGGGTCCCAGGAGTAAATAGGGGAAAGTAGGAAATAATGTCTATGATCATTATATGAGGTCCATTCGACTTGACTCAATTTGCAAGCATATGCCTTGGTTTTATAGTAGTGTATGAAATAGCTACAAAACTCTAATATTCATGTCACTTACTACAAATCCCAATTTGGAGTATGACACCGGAACAAGTCATTCATCATGGTCTGGAAGGTAGACGGGCTGTTGGTCAGTCCAAAGAACATCACCAAGGGTTCAAAGAGTCCATGCATAGTCCGAAATGCGGCCTTCCACTTGTCACCCTCCTTGATCCGGACATTGTTGAAGCCCCACCAGACGTCAAGTTTGGAGAAGTAGCGAGTGTTCCAGAGTTTGTCCACCAAGTCCGAGATGAGCAGGAGTGGGTACTGGTTCTTGACCGTCATGTTGTTGAGCTTCTGGTAGTCCTGGACCAAGTGGAGCGATCCGTCCTTCTTCTTAACAAAGAACACCGGGGCAGCCATGGGCGACTTGCTGGGGCGGATCCGACCAGTCCGGAGATTTTCTTCCAGGAATTCGTCCAGCTGTTTCTGCTCCGCCGGGGACAGCGGGTAGCACTTGGTAGAGGTTGGTTCCGCTCCGTCCAGTAGCTCAATGGCATGGTCCCACGGACGCGGCATGGGCAGTTCATCAAAGGACTCCTTTGCGAAGACGCCCTTGAATTCCTGGAGGAAATCCGGGACTGCGCTGTTCCGAGGATTGTGGGGTTTGTTGCGCTGGAAAGCCAATGTGAGGCGCTGCGAGACTGTCTCCGAAGCCCGGATATGTTCTTCCCGAAGACTCCGAAGGTACTCTGGAGTCGGAGGAGGAATAGCCACGAAGATACGGTCACCCCTCTCAAGTCTGGAGTCGTCCGGAGTTGTAACATTGTCATCCTCATCATCATCCTCACAGTCCTGAAGCTCTGGGAGATCGTCTGAGTGCAGTTCCTCAACCCTTGGCATCGGACCCGTACGACACTCCCGGAGCCGCACAGACTCCTTGCGTTGGGTCAGCTTGTCATAGCGGAACTCCTTCTGACAGGTATCGCATCCGGACAGACAACGGCTCATGGTCACCTCCTTTGTCTGCCAGTCAATCTCGGGGTTGTGCTTCCGAAGCCAGGTGTATCCGAGGATGATGTCCTGCCGTCCGATGTTAGTGACTGCAAAAAGCATCCATTCCGTGTGATCCTTGAACCGGAGTACAAGGTCCACGACTTCGGAGATAGATCCGTTCTCATTTGGTGATCCGTCGACATTGAAGACCGGAATCGGAGCGGACAACTTGCGTTGGGTGAAACCATGGGCATCAGCGAAGCGCGGATGCATGAAGACTCTGGTGGCTCCGCAGTCCACCAGGGCCTGCAGGGTGCATCTGTGTTGTGTATCCGTGCTCTGCACACATACCTCAGTGTAAACTGTCTGGTACTCCCAGACAGATAGAAACTACCCCCCCCCCAGTACTCCCAGGGCAAGCTGGACCCGGCCGGGATATATCTGTCCCTGGTACACCCAGGTGTAAGGGGACACTCCTATTTTCTCTCCTTTCCTTCATCCCATGGACTCTTACCTACATTCTCTTTGTTCCCCTTCGTTCCTTTTCGCTCCCTTTCCTTTCCATTTCCTTTCCACCCACTCCTTTCGCATCCGAGCCGCGTCCGGTGACTCCGGAGCCTTCCCGCACTTCGGACACTTCGGACTCGCTTGGACTCGTTTCGGATACTTCGGACTCGTTTCAGACACTTCGGACTCGCTTGCACTCGTAGATACACTGCGGGGCTTGTCCGGGCTACCTCTATCCTCCTTTCCCACTTCATTACTCCTTGTCCCCACTTCCCCAGGTCGCTGGCACGATTCCTGTACATTCCCCTTCCACTTCATTATCACATGTTTCCTTGTACCTTGTGATATTCGTTCGGACCTGTGGCTGGTGTACTGTACAGTTATCCTGCATTCCTCTCACACTACTACAGTATATACTTCACTCCCTAGCATGGAGAATCCTTATCCTGTTCTCTTTGTATTCTCCCTCTGCTAGGTGAGCAGCTCTCTCATGTATTGTAGTTAGTCCTATTCATATCTTTGGATTCTCCCTCTGCTAGGCTTGCACTGTGCGGCCATCTTGAGGTTGCCCTTACAGGCCTCCTCATCACATGCCTTCGCCATTAGCGGCCCAGTCATACGTTTGTGCCATGGAACATCAACATTGTGGGCAGGTTCATCATCCTCGACATCCTGCTCTTCATCATTCTCCTCTACCGCCTTATTCTTTCCTTTGCCCCCCTTCCCTGCTTTACTCCGGTCATTTGCAGCCCCCCATATCCTCCCCATCCAAATCCTTGCAATATCTCTTCTGGTTATTTTTAAACCACCACGCAACTTGCTAGTTGTTGATGAGTCCTCTTCTCTTTCCTGTAATATTGTGAAGTCAAAACTCACCCCCGCTAGACTGGCAGCATCTTTCAAAGGGTTCAACTTGCTGGTGTTTGCCGCCTGCTTTGCATACAACTCTTTGCAGGTGTGTTTGATCACTTCCTCCCTTCCTTCATTTTTCTTCTTATGCCATTCGACAATTGCTGGCTTCAGAATATCGTCCACATATGGGGTGGACCAGGCCATTGTTGAATTTTCCGATGTGGATGCGGTTGTCTGTAAGGTAGGGCAATATGTTTCCACAGTAAACAATTCATTGTCACACGGAGCTCATAATGTTATGTAATGTGCAAGATTTCTATATAAGGTGGGGTGCATATATAAACACATAAATACATGGCAACTATATAAGAAACTATAGACATGACCATTGAGTATGGGACAAGGGGGCGGGACACAGGTCACGGGGAAGGCACTGGGATATGAAGTCGGTGGGTGGTGCTTTGTGTACGACCTGTCTTTCTGGCATTGACACTTAATCCAGCACCTCTACTCGAGTTTTGGGTAGCGGAGGAGGATGGAACACGGGATGGGGCACGAATCGAGCACAGATGGCGTGGGCATGGAGTGGGTGGGTGGTACACCAAGTACCACTCATTTTATTGTTGTCAATGTGAGATCCCGCTCCCCAAGCCAAGTTTGGGGTAGCAGAGGTGTACGGAACACAGGGTGGGGCACAAAACAGACCTACCATGTCATTGACAAGGTCCCGAACGGCACACAAAACTACGAAGAGGCTGCGTATCAATGGAAACGAAGGCGGGGGGCATGGAACTCGTTGGATAGCAGCAGTGTCAGGATGTGGAATGCGCGGGTTCAGAAGACGCTGGCCAAGCTGAGATAAGCCGGAGTTGGCAGTCGTGGGAACGACTGTACAGTACCAAAACAAAACCCCCAGCATGTGTCTATCCATCTCTTTCTTGCGCACCCTCGCCTTTTCTTCCTTTACTTTTTTGTTCCATTTTTTCATTCATCCTTTTTTCGTCGTTTCTTTTTTGCGATGGGGGTTGCCAGGAGCCCACAACAACTTCTCTGTTGTTGCGGGTGTGTTTGTGTGGCAGATTGGCTGCATGTTCCATCCTTTTTCTTTTTTGGCTTTGTTGGCTGCACCGCCCGACACTCTGCGCATTGGGGTTTTGCTGGGGGGATCGCCCGAGCATCCGGTTTCACCATAGTGTCCTACCGCCGAGATGACACGGTCTCTTGGCAGATCATGTATTCCCTGTGAATGTGCCGGCTCTGGAGGATCTTATTCGGTGCAGGCCGTCTCCTGCAGGCTGAGGTAGCCTTATCCAACCTCAAAGGTTTTGGCGAGCCTCAAATCGCCATCATGCCTTCGGGCTGCTGTTACAGCTGGGATTGCTTATGCATTCCCGTTCCCCTCCACTATCCTTTGGGCACCTATTCTGGTGAGTATCCCCCGTACACATTCTCCTACCTACTGCTAACATGTTCTGATACCCAGCCCACTTTGTCCAGCCTGCACCTTGCCCTTGATGGATCATTTTCCCCCTCTCCTTTTTTGGGCTTTCTGGTGTGTCCTTCATTGTCGTTGCCTCTGGACCTATGCTAACTTATGATGGATCCTCGCTCCCCTCTTCTGATGTTCTTTCAGGCCTTCTGGTGTGTACTCTAACATTGTTGCTGCCGCATGCTGACCTGTCTTGATACTCTAGTCCACCTTCGTGCCTGTTGCTGATGGATGAAGGCAAGCCATACACCTTTCCTCTCCGCCGTTCTGACTCTCTCTCTCTCTCTCTTTACGTAGCCACGCAGGCTCTCGCACATGTACTTGGCGTGTCCATTCTGACGTATGTCTGTTCCCTTGTTGTATCACCATGCTATGCACTAACTCATTACTTGCAGACAGTCAGCATAATTCAAAGTTGAGTACGCCCTATTTGTGACAAGTATTCCTTCCCGCTGACTTCCTTCTCTCCTAGCTGCAGCCAGCCATCTTGTAGCTGGGGACTCTGGCGTGTGATTTACATGCCAACATTAGGAGTTCGCTGACACCTAAGTCTTCGTAGGTTATCAGTCCGCTGTAGTTCGTAGCAGTAGTCTTTTTAGCTAATCATGTAATGGGTGGATGGGGAAGAGTGATAAGGGGCTGGCCACCCTTTGTCAAGATTCTTTATCTGCCTTTGTCGTAGCCGTCCATTAGACTTGTGCTTAATGTCAATATGCAATGATGTATTTGTTGAATGCGGCCCATTTTTCAAGGTCACATGATGTCTTACTGCGAAGCTTGCGGCGAAATTGAGTGAGGTTGAGCGAAAGTTAGATAAGTTAGCGTGTGGCTATTGGCTAGTTCTGGCCGCGGTGCACCATTCTACCTCTAAGTTAGTAGACTAAGCCTAACACTGAGCCTAAGCTAAGCCCACCCACCACACAGCGCCGAACATGTAGTACGCCATGCGGCGTATTTATCATAGGCCACAGGCAGGCCAATTCGGTATATATACCAGGCCATCTGCCATGCTTCGACCCACATTCTTGCCCCAGGTCCCATATGGCACACACCAAACAAACAGCTAAGAAAACTACTGGAGCTATTGGCCAATGCGCTGATATCCCGCCACCAACCAACACCTTCCAGGCAGGCAGTGGGCAAACAGGCACCCCACTACAGACCCACACAACCACCTCCGCTAATAACGACATAGATGGGTTCATTGCCTTTACCTTTGAAGATCTCGGCAAGGACAACCCAGTAAGTAATTGTTGACGGTTAAATAACATAAACTCACCATTCATTAGCTCTGTAACGGCTGTCAGAATGGTGGCAAGATGCTCAGCTGTATGAAGTGCCCTTGATGGACCTGTTACGACATCATTGGAGATGGTGATGGCGAGGGCTGTATAACAATTGCCTCCGCAGATGTGCTAACTGAAGATACTGCTTTTGTGTGCCCCGCCTGCCACTGAAATGGTTCCCCAATTGCCGCACCCTACTATGTATGTGTCTAATGCTTAATTTACATTATCCACCTAACCTATTGACAGGGATTCTATACCAAAGCATTTGAACCCATTGAAGGCGCCGTAATCAATGTATCCTGCACGACACTCACCTTCTTCCCAAAGTTGAATACCGCTGAAACTCTGCTGTTGCTCATTGCAGTTCGTGGAGCTGAGTGCATGGACGAGCCCGCCATGGCCACTTATCAACTCCTCCATCAGTTTTTGGGCATGGCCAAGGCAACTTGCATTATGCCACTATCTTCTATGATCTGGCGAACTCTGCTGGCAGTGGAAGGTACGAGTCTGATATTGCCAAGGCAGTTGCATTTATCAAAAGGTAAGTGAGCATGAAATCTGCCGCAACTCAATAGAACTGATATGGACTTATAATGCCCGACTCAGCTGCACCTGTCAAGTCGTTGTGTTCTTCGTGACGCACACTACACCCGATGGTGACCTTCACTTTTCAGGCCCTCGCCCTGCAAACCGTTCGAAAGGCGCCACCATGCTTCCTGGGCACAGCCATACTCCCGCAACCATGAGTCCACTTCATGTTCTTCGTATTCTAAACCCCAACAAATTCTCCCAGGTTCTCAACCGCATATTCACCAAGCAGTTTCTTTCTGCCCTGCAATGGATACCCGACACCTCCCTGTTCCTCCTCATTTGCGGTGGATACTGCGGCCATACTGAGACAATGGAATGGGTCAATTCTGTTGTGCAACGGTCAGTGGCCAACTCTAGTCCAGTTTCTACAACCTTCTGAGTTTGTAAACAGCCAATTTTTCCACGAAGTTATCTCCTTCACCAACAAACGCTTCCAGCCCTGTTGGGCTTCGTCTTTTTGCGCCAAATACGTCCAATCCTTCTATCTTGAGGATGTCAAGTATCCTATTGCGATGGAGCAAATCTTGGCTGGGAATGCTAGGTTGGGCATTGTGTCTGACATCGTCATCATCTCCCACGACAAGGACAGCCTCCCAGGGGTTCGAAGGGATCTGTATTATTGGGCGCAAGAAAAACACTCCCCTTATGGTTTCCGCATCCCCAGCCAGTGTCCCACCTGTCTCCGCTTGGGAACAATCACCAGTTCTATGCCCAGTGACTTTCATGGTACGAAACTCCGGATTTACTGCACCCACCGTACCAATGGAAAACACTGCACTTTTGAACAGCTGGAGTTGATCAAAGAAGGTAGAAGTAAAGGATCTGAGCTTCTGCATGGTTGGTGGTTCACTGAAATCTTCTAAATGTGCATTACTACTGTGAAATACATGTCAATTGTCTCGCTTAGAGTTCCCCTATTCCCCTATACCCCTAAGTGTCCGAACAAATATGTACAAATAAGTTCAAAAAATTTTCACCGGGATTCTCACTGTTCTTTTATCCTTGCATCCTTACTACCAGCATGCCAAAGGTAAAAAGCCACCATGATTATTTCAATGAGCAGGCAATAGCATGCCAACTCAGACAATTTGCCGGAGGAAAGGAAATGTGAGCATTCAGTCACCTGCATCTTGTAGATCTTTTCTCACAGAGATATCTTAGAGATCTCCCTCTATCTTGGCGCGCAGTAGCAGTTGGCCAGATTGGTAATGTTTTGCGCCGCGCTTATCAAAACATTGGCAAGTTACTTCCTGATTCAATTAGGTTATAGCTGATTTTTGTTAGTTACCCTCCCAGTGACTGCAGACAGATTAAATACTGCCTTGCATAAACAGCGCACAGTGCTCCTTCAAGATGTGAAGCTTGGGCGGATGACCAAGGCCACTGTGGTTGTATCAAGAGATAAAAAGCCCTTGATCATATATCTCCCCCACGCTGTTGCAAAACATGTAGAGGTATCTATGTTTCCTTTTACAGTGGGGCTTTGCTGAAAATATGTAGCGAAAAGCAATGGTGGCCACCTTGGGCATTGATACCATCCTAGCAAAAGGAATGAAATCCAAAGGCAATTGGCGTAGTCGCCGAGAAAGATTCAAACCTTATGGTAAATTGCCTATTGGCCAGGAGGCTTTTTCGGGTGGCTGGTATGCTCAAGGACATGCAGTAGGTGCTTGCATCTCTCTCTTTAGTGTTGTCTACTCACAATGGCTAGAACAGCAATGCTCTTCCACGCCCATCAGTGAGCCTCCGTAGCGCTAAGAACTCAGGTGCTACGGAGCGGTGGCTCAAAGAAACTGCAACTCTCAACAAGAGCATCAACCTCATTATGGGAGCAGTGCATCCAGACTCCTATTGTGCTGGAGTCAAAGCATTGAATGGTATGCGCACCAGGGCTCTGCCAGATGATGTTAAATGGGTGGAACTTTGGCAGCCAGTGGCAACAGCTATGGCCGTTGTCTCCAATGGCACAAGCCTGGCACATTTTGACTACAAGGGTGATGTCAAACAATTTGACGCATTGACTAACCTTGGTGCAGACCAGGTTGAGCTTGGGTTTCCAGACCTGGGTGGTAACTTCCACTATCATGGTGGTTCAGTGGTTCTCTTCTCTGGGAGGCTCTTCAAGCATGAAGTGAAGGATTGGGTGGTGGGGGAGAGGATTGGATATGCATATTTTATGTGTGCAGAAGTTCAAAAGGCATTTAGGGAAAGGGCGGTGGGTTGGGCTTGTATGCCTAGGAAGTGGGGCAAGACAAAGTAGCCGCTTGATATATGGGGCTCTGATTATCGGAGTTGAATACAGCCTGATTATCAGAGTTAAATAATACATGTGCCTGCTGTCAGTCCTGCTGTTTACCTCTGAAACATCATGGGCTTGTTGAAGGCTTCAAAGAAACCAAAAGGTTTTGGAGAGACAGTTTGGCAAAAAACAGCCAATGGAAAGCGCCAGAGAGTGGAGGTGATTAGGCCTCTCAGCCTTAGCCCGCCAGGGACACCTTTGACATCGCACACAACACCATCCACACAAAAAACAACGTCATCATCTGGGAGAAGCACACCAAAGAGCAGACGATTAATTCAAAGCCCATCTATGTTGTTGGACAGCCTCCCAGGGCTGGATACTATACTTGAGGACATGGGGTTCAATGACTTTGATTTTGGTAGCTTCAACATGTATGGAAAGGTAAGCTGAAATATCTTGATGTTTGTACCGTTGTCTGAATAATGAACAAAACCAGACATCTGGAGGAATATGTTCAAGAATGGATCAGACATTGGGCATCAGATATACGCGAAATAGCTGCTCTAGAGTGCTTGCCAAGCAAACCCAAATGTGTGCTGTGTAAATGTGCACTGAATGGTGTGGTCTTGTGTTGCACCCAATGCTTCAACACACCGCTTTTATGCAGTTCGTGTTGCCTGAATCAGCACCGGCAGAACCCTTTTCATCAAATCCAGTCCTGGGATGATGGATTCTTCAAAGATTGCAGCTTGGATGAACTGGGCATTGTTCTCTATCTTGGCCATGCTGGTGAGCGTTGTCCAGCAGCCAATGGGGAATCTGATACTGCTGATCCTTTTACCCTGGGTAAGAGACATCTATCTAGGCTTTCAGAATTTTCTGACCGTTTGAATAGACCCAAGGCACCAATCCATGGTTTTTGTGCATACAACTGGTATATATTCTAGAAACGTGGAATGGTGTCAGTGCGAAAACCACAAGAGCCATTATACCCAGCTTCTGCAAGCCAGATTATTCCCCACTACATCAGATCAACCATCAACTGCATTCACTTTTGAGGTTCTGGATGAGCTTCATCTCCAACATATAGAATGCAAAACTGTGTCTTCAAACTTCTACAGTTTGCTTCGGAGGAAGACAAATTTCAATGCTCCATTAGATGTTCCGGTGTGTTTTGTACGAGTATTTGGCTGGACATCACTAATCTCTATCTTAGGACCGCTCAAGGGAGATAGAGCGCATTTCACGGTGCTACCGTGATCTGTGTAGCAGGCTGAAAAATGGTTGTTGGGGCGATGAAGACAACACCCCAGGGCAACAAGCAATATTCTGCCCAGCATGCCCTCAACTGGGTATCAATGTGACAAGCAAGACATGGAATGCTGCCACTGATCCTGACTGGCTGCTCTCTCCATTGCTGGTGGCCGATGGCAACTTCAAGTTTGATCACCTGCAGCTGAAAAATCCTCAATCTGATGTCATCCTTCGTGACGGCACTGGGTTTCTGGTCACTACTAGCACCTACGAGAACCACTTGGATGTCACATCTGGGACCCAAGAGAAATCAAACTGCGCCAATCACAAGGCAGTAAATCAGGCATCACGGCCACGCAAACATGTGGACAACACTGGTATTGGAGCAATCACCTATGCAAGGCATGGCTTCTTTGTTCCACACTCAATCGTCAATTTTGAAAAGGGAGAGCAGTGAGTTTTCTCAGTTTGGAAATCCATGTACTTTAAATGGCCGCCATAACAGACAGAAGAACATGGACTTTGCACTCTCTGAGGCGATGAAGTTTTTTACCAGCCTGAAAAAGGAGCCATTGCAACCCGCCATTACCGTCATCTATGATGTCATGTGCCAGTATGGTGTTCATTTGGAACAACACCTAGAAGATGGTCCCTTTTTAGAGAAGCCAACAATGCCAATTCAGAAGGCCATTGGTAAATTTCATCTTGGAGCACACATTGACTCTTGCTTCTCTACATTCAGTCTGAACTTTCTTCGCAGTGCGGGGCATACAGATGGGGAAGTTTTGGAGACATTATGGGCTCCACTAAACAAGATCACTGGAAGTACAAGATCTATGACATTGGCCCACCAACAGGAAGTATTGGATGATTGTGTTTATGACTCTAACTGGAAGAAAATAACCAATCTAAGTATGCTTTCAACCTTAATTGTGATGGATATTATTAAACGGTTTCATGTTTCAGTTCCATCTCTGATAAAGAAGTGGAAGCGTGCCAAAACATCATTTGCCAACATGAAAGAGGCTTATGAGGATCTTAGATGCCGGTTGACAGAGGATGATTTAGAGTCATGGAATTCTCAGGCGGAGCAAGCATCTTTGCTCCATGGTAAGGCTTTGGAAATTTATGATGTAAAGACAGAACAAAGTAAGTTCTTGAAATGACTCTTGCTCTACCAAGCAGCTCATTACAATGATGTTAAGATCCATCAGTGGCTGGTGTTTGGTTGGAAATGGTGGAAAAAGAATTGGTTAATGGTGCTTACCTTTTAGGTGGTGTGGTGTTCATCACCAAAGGCCTATCATTGGAAGAGGCACAGTGAGTTAGCTTCAGTAAATGTAGAGAATGGATCTTGATGGCATTCTCTTAGATACAAACTATGTGTGTTCATTAAATCTGTTGGAAACTTTCCTACCATCCCACAGAAAAATACTATTGCTGATAAACGGAGGATTATGAAAAGGAACATAGAACAGCATTGCCGGCAGGGCGAAAAGTTCATGGGGTTGGGTTCTGTTGGGGATAGTGATTCTGATGACAAAATGGAAGATAGTGATAGTGACGAGGGTGAGGAGGACGGGAATGATGAAGATGGCTACATGCCACACGTAGGCTCTCCAAATGCAGACTGCAAAAGCATTGGGCAAACACCAGAGCAAATGAGCATTTGCTTTCCTTCATCCTTCACAGCTGAGGAGCGGGTTCGGATGGGGTGGACAAAACTAGCAGAACAGGAAGTCCAACTTCAGGAAGCACAGATCAATGATGCACTTCACAATCTCCGGATATCCCTTGGCAAAAAATCACTTCGATTTCGAAAGGTCTTGCGCAGTGATCAGTCACAGAAACATGTCACAAGAGCATGGAGTGGCATCAATACTTACAACGCCAGAGCCAATCTACAGGTGGATATATATGAGGGAGCAGTAGAAGCATTAAAAAGGCTAGGTGCAGGAAACAAGTGGAAACCCATTAACAGGGACAAGGATTTGCAGATGAAAGGTGACATTGAACATCCCAACAGAATTGGTCAATCATCCCACAGTTTGGCTTGGTTCTGGAGGCTTCAGAGTGGTGAGATCTCAGAAGAGGTTGAGGACAGCCCAATGATGAAAGAATGTAAGGCTCCAGTCTTCTTTACATGCTAAAGCTGATGCAGAAACATTCAGTTTACTGGATCAATTACCTCCGAGCAAAGGCCCGGAGAGATCAATGGGAGGAGGAATTGATACTGTTGAAGAAGGAAATCTCATGGGCTCTGGAGTGGTTTCAGTATCAGTCGGATAAGTGGAGCAAAATGGCAGATACTGAGGCAAGTTGCGGGCTGATTGCCTACTGTCGTAAGATGGCATTTGTATGGAAAGAGTTCAGAAGAAGGGGAAGGGAGGTTGTGCAGGATAGTGGATGTGTTGAGCTTGCCCAAGCTATTTGACATAGAAAGTACCATACTGCTTGCAAAGTTTGCATCAACAAACAACTTAGTTATGATATTCTTAGTTTATCTGCCATTGGCTCTCTCGGTGTGAATAATCTAGCTGCTGGAATATCCTACTGAGAGTGCCAGCAGATGGATATTCTCAATTTATCCACCATTGGTTCACCCAGCATGGATAATCCAACTGGATAGATGGATATTCTTAGTTTATCCACCATCGGCACGCCGAGCACAGATATCCCAGCGGCTAGATTATCTGCACCGAGAGCACCAACAGGTGGATATTCTTAGAAAACCTTCAGAGTGTGCAGATTGTAACCGGAGTTGTTTGCTTAACGTCGGACGAATCATCAGAGAGATTGGAATCGTCTATTTTGTCTACGCTAAGACAAGCAAATCGGTTATTCACCAACAAGGTCACACTGATCACTTGTTGGTCCAGACAAAATCTGCTGTGTCCAATTCCTCAACTGGGGCCGTTCCCTCAGCATCTACTCCTTCCGAAGTCCCCGCACTTTCTACAACACCGGCTGCGGTCAAGAGATCTTCAATGGCGGACATCCGCTTCTCGGTGGTCATGAACCGGACATCGTACTGGAGTGGGCACTCACGGGACAGGTGGCCGGGTTTGCCACATCGGTAGCAGAGCTGCGAAGTGGCAGGCCAGGAGCGGGTGTGGTCAACGTCCATGGGGACGCCGGGTGAGAGAGCCTTCGGAGGAGGCAGAGGTTGGAAACAGGGCTGCAGAGGTGGGAGCTGAGTCCGAGGCGCGGGAAGTACACCCGCAGGAGTCCGAGCAACTCCGGAGTTGGCTGCTGGTCGGACGAGGGATCTGGAGTGCACGCCAAAGTGGAAGGATTGGTTAGCGGCATGGTTGTCAGCAACCCGCTGCGCTGCCCTGTACCATTCCTCAAAGTCATCCTCGTCCGGACAGTCTGCGGACTCGGCAACACGGCTCTGGATGATGGAGTCCAATTCCCAGCGGAACTTCATCATGATGTTGGACCCCTCAGTGTATCCGGACTGGTCTACAAGGTCCCGGAACTCGTTGAGGTACTCCTTTCCCTCTGCACCTCTATGTGGAACCGCACACCCGCAGGTCCGCATATTCCCGAGCCCCTCTGCAAGTGTGGCTCTTAACAGCTACCGAACAGACTCTAAAGGACCTGTTATTTTACTGATGACTAGGATACTCATACCAGAAATGGATGTCAGGCCTGCAATTTCAATGGCAGTGACTTCCGCCATTGCGAGAGCAGTGGCGTCTACTCTGTCGGGATCCGAGAGGACTGCAGCGGCACCGAGTGGGTGGCTGGCACAGCGGGCACCCCGGGGTCTACGTACCAGCAGAAGAGTGGAGTTCCTTCGCGTAGGACGATGCCTTTTGATAATTGGCAATACTCCCTCAAGGGGTTGGGTGAATGCTGGCGGCTGGGCCATAGTGCTGTATGGTGCAACGGTCAGTGAAAGAGTGGAAAGGAGTCGCGCTCTGTATTAGACAATGGATTAATGGAGGTCAGGTGGACGATGGACTCTGTCCTCACGTGCTAGCGTGACTTCTAACTTCAGGCCTCTTCAGGCCTTCAGGGCGCAGTGGTTTCATTTACCTAGACGTTCATGCATGTCGTGGCCCTCTTCGATGCGGGGTGTCTGCGGGTGCCTGGTGTCTCTTTCTTTCTTTCCGCGCATGGCGGCACACGCGCGGGAGAAGTCGATCTCATGACTGCCTCCAAGTTTTTCCTTCCTCTGTTCTCACCTCAGAGGCCCGCCCAGGGAGTCAACACGCAAACACGCACATGTGCCTTTGTCGTTCTGCTTAGTATGTGTGTGTTTGTTGTTCTGCTATGTGTGTGTTCCTGCTCTGTAATCCCGAGGCCACAGCGGTATAATCATCACGCGTGAGTGCGGCGTATCAAGCAGGCATGTCGTACAATCAATCAGAATCCAGACCAGAATCGAAGGCGTCGACTATCACGGCATCGGTTTACGTATTCTCCAGCTTCTGGAGGGGACTTGATTCTGGAGACAACCATCATATCAGCTCGCACGTTGGCGATCAGGCGATCAGACGGCAGACGGCGGTGAACATACAACGGCGGTGGGTGGCCTGTCCGAATTTCGAAAAGAAGCATGGTACGGAAACATGGACGTTCAGTGGAGCAGTAAGTGATATCCGCCGAGTGAAGAACTTTGCAGGCCTCGATAGTCGTGTATCCGTTCATCTTCCTCGTCCGTCACGCGTCTCCCAGCAATCACCATACCTCGAAATTGCCCCCTGGTGCAGAATCACATCATTACGTTACAACCACAAGCGCAACTAATTGCAGGACGAGAATGGAGAATGGAAACCCCCCTTGAAGACACAGGATTCCCGGGATGTCAAGCTTGATGATGATCGAAGTTGACGAAAGCTACAGTGCCACTCTGGACGAGGCCAGACGCTCTCCGAGCCCGATATTGATATCCCTTTCCCGCTTGAGAATCGACAGCGGCAATTCAGGCGTCAGAGAGCTCGACGGCTGTATCTCCGCGAAGAGGTGAGCTGGATCTAGGGGCTGGTGTGTGCTAGACGGGTCGGTCTGATGCATCATCATGATGCGGGGCAGTCAACTGTAGTAGGTCAGTGGCGTTAAGTATGCAGCGGACGTCTAGCGTATAAATGGGCAGGTGCGTCGCTTCTGGCTCTGTGTGCTAGTACTACCTTATTCTTCTTGTGCTCGACATAATCATGCCTGAAGATCAAAGGTGAAATCAAAGATAACGGTATTCAATGCTGGATATCATAATCAATACCAGCTCGATGCACGAAATATGACGCTGGGGTCAGCGCGACAATGATTGTATACAGGAAAACATTTCGCGGAGCTCTATATTCGGAAGGAAATGGATGTACTTCCATCTCCGTCATTTCCTTCACGTTCTCTGGCTGTTACGCTCAAGCCGTCTACTTGTGGAATGTGGGCTATCTTACCATTATCACGTTCGGAGCGGTAGCTGTAAGATAGGGAGCTGTGGCTGAGCTGGGCAAGACAGAGCTGAACGTCGGCCGTAGACATGTTCTCCCACTTGGCCCTGGCAAGAAACCCTGAACTTACCTTCTAAAAAGAAACCCTGAACGTCCGGAGTTCACCTATCGCAATGAACCCATATGTCATACTTAAACGATTATGATCGTACTGTGATCGTGCACGCGAGCCAGTTATGATCAGGAAGCCGCAGTCGCACTCAATCGTAGTGTTTGAAAGCCCAAGCACCTCCCTTCGCCCACCAACAAATATCGGCAAATGGGGCACATCGTGTCAACACCTTGTTGATGAGAGTTCTGGCCGCATTGTCTACATGTTTTCTCGAAATTTGAAAGACGGCGCGTCGGCATACGCGCGATGGTACCTATGAATCTTGGATTACACACCGCCGCGCGCCGACATACGCTTCGGGTTTATCCGTCCGTCAAGTGCCTTTGTCACCCACCCATCAATTAATCCGGCGTAAACAAAGCAGGGTTTCATTGCTCCCAGTCAACCTGCGTATATTGAAAGTGAGTACTTGAGGCTTGGTTTCGGAGGACTAAGATTTCGGGGCCGCCACGAAATGAGCACTAGCTTGATTGCTTAGCTTGCATATTCTCCACAGCAGCTTTTGCTGTCCGAGTTGGACAATGGGCAATATCGCCCAGTGACAGTACGGCGCCACTTCTTTGCTTATATAATCCACAGGCGTTGTTCTGCTTTTCGATTGGACGATAAGGACGGCTGCTCTGTCTCTCGTGCTGGTGCGCTACTTTGAATTGCAAGCAAGTCCCTCGATGCAGTCCAGCCTCCTCACAATTTGTTATTACAGAAAACTCCTAAGGGGGGTCAAGGCCTCGACAATGCAGACGCACAGAGTAGCGGTTCAAATTGCTGTTGGTGTGCTTGCAGCTCGCGGGACGATATCATATGGATGCTCAAGTGCGAGGACGTGAGCCTGAAAGTGGGGTCAAGATAACACCCAAGTCCACCAACCCGATCTGGGTATATCGAAAATTCTACATCAATAACATATACCGGGACTGTTTGTTGCTTTCCCCGTGGGACCGTACGACGAACAGTCATATAGCACTGCACCATAACGTGCCCGTCTGCCATCTGCATCAGTCCTGGGAAGCATCAAACCTTCCGTTCGACTCCAAGTACAAGGCCCAAGAAGCAGCGCAGTCTGAGCTAGATTGCATTCATCCGATCCGTACACGCCGCTGAAGGATCAATAGCACGCCCAAACGTCAGTTATCCACTCCCATTGCCTTTTTAACAATGCTTACCCGACTTCTTCAGTGATCCAGCTCTCTCCGACCTCTACCACTCCATACAATGTCGTCTCGATCAGCCGGAGGACGACGTCGCCAGCTCAAGTCTGCGGCCAAGGCACAAGCCGCCTCGCCCCAGCCGCCACCTGCGCCCCCCACCCCCTCGTACGCAAGCCACAGTCCACAGCCGTCTCCTGGTCAAGGCCAGATGTACATGAACCCATACATCCAACCTTCACCGGATTCCTATTACCAGCCATTCTCACCCACGGTGCAGCCAATAGCACCTTCGCCGATCCCCTCTCATGACGATAAGCGGTGGTACCAGCACCCTGTTCCGAAGGACATTATTCTTGCGCCCCCAGGATCTATGGCGTTCGCGCGAGTCTCGACGCCACCATCGTCTCCCGACGCGCTCACGCCTACTACGATGTCATTTTCGTCCATGTCGCTGTCGTCTGCATCAAGCACACGATCTCCCGCACCGACGTACACGACACTCTCCCCTACCATGTATTCCCCCGAGCTAGCAAACTCGCCACCTTCATCGTCGCCCATATCGTATGGAAGTGGTCCAAGTTCTCCCCCGCTACTCCTTCAACCACAGCAACCGCAACAGCAACCGCAACCGCAACAGCCACTTCAACAGGTCGTGTCAAGGACTTCGGCCAACAGTTCTAACCAAGCCTTTGTATACCCGACATGTCGGTCAAATGCTCGTCCATCAAATCATTCTCCGACAGCCTCTTCTTTCCCGAAAATCAGCCTCAAGAGTAAGAAGAAGAACAAGGGCTCGGATTCGAGGTCTAATGACGACGGGAAGGCTAGCCCAAAGGGTGAGCCAACCTCTGGTGGACGGTTCAGAGCGCTGCTCAAACGGAGCAAGAAGAAGAGGGCACTGACCCCCATCATCTCCGAAACCCCTACTCCCCTAACCCCTGAGCCGATCAACATCACACGACAGTACTCCCCCACCATTCAGACGAACGAATCCATCGAAAGCTTCGCCTGGCTCAAGAAACAGGATCAGACTCTCCACCCCTACACCTCTGAGGCGCCGTACATGCAGGCATATGATCCACCCTTCCTCGAAAGGCAAGTAGGCTGCACACTGATCGACTTGCTATCTGTCTACTAATAATATGTTGACAGCGACAAACAGTTCACGCGTCTTCTGCAGCGACTGTCCCCGAGGGAATCGCCTTGCTTCCATGATTATGGTCGGCATCCCCCCGCCCATGTGTTGGATCTCGGGTGTGGCACGGGGACCTGGGCCCTCGAAGCCGCCTCATACTGGAAAGCCCACGGCACCCGCATTACCGGGTTCGATCTCGTCGACATCGCGCGAGACGAATGGGGTCGGGCCCGAGATGCCAACGCCACACAGAACTTACGGTTTGTCCGGGGAAACTTGTTCGTATCTCTTCCTTCCTGTCCTTTCTATTTCCACGCTCCAGCCACGGAAACCTTACTTACACATGGTTCTGTTTACACAGCCTGACATATAGGTTGCCATTCCCAGACAAGACGTTCGACTTGGTGAGAATGGCGAATTTGACATTGTGTATACCGTACAGCAAGTGGGAACAGGTGTTGAGTGAAGTGCGGCGTGTTATGACGATCAATGGGCGGCTTGAGCTGGTGGACGATCAGATCATGTTCCCATACGCCAGGCCGTTCTCACCCTCACCCTCACCGCCTCCGTCCCGGCCCCCCAGGTTAGACATTCCCATCCCTTCATCGTCTTTCAATGTTCCCCGCCGCAAAGAGTACGAGGAGGATGACTACGACTTGGATGATATCCTCGGAGACGACGATAGCGACCTAGAGGGGGAAACCTCGTCGAGTGCCACTCCTACCATTTCCGGCGGTTCTGATACCTCTTCTAGGCGCTCGACCGAACGTGTTTCTAGTACGAAAGGCTCAATCCCTAGCAGCGGCAGCAGCAGCGGCTCTAAACGCCATCACCCAACCACACCTTGGGATCTCCAGGCCGGGTCCTGTCAGGGACTGGAAACAGTGTTCGAAAATATGCTGAACGAGAGGTACCACGTTCACCCGAGGCCATCAGAGTTCCTGGTCGACGTGCTGAAGCGGATTTTCGGCAAAAGGCATACGAGTCTCATGCGAAGCATGCATATCGAGCTGGCGCCCACAGAGTTCGTTTCGGAGGATCCCATCCCGATGAAGCAAGGCTCGGGATACGGCGCGATGGCAGCGGCTGCCGCCGCCGCGAACTTATCTCGCGGGCGAGTGCAAGATGCGCTGTCACAGTGCCCGGGCATCGTCCTCTGGCCGTCCACGTACATCCCCATCCCGGCGCAGGAGCTCCAGATGCACGCTTGCAAACACATACGCACGCTTTTGGGATGCAAGTCGGCGCTCGCCGATTATGTCGAGCTGCGGGATAATGATGGGGCCCGCGTCGTGGATGAAGAGTTTTGGGATGCGATGCATGACTACGAAAGGTATGATCGAACGTTATTTTTCGGGATCGCGCTGCATACTCACGCTGCAAAAAGCTTCATCCGCCAGCGATTTGAGGGCCTGGCAAGGGCGCCTGATACTCGCCTGGACCCATCGCAAGGGCACGCCCGAACGGAATCCGTAGAAACTTCTGATTCTGCGTCCACATATCAGGACTCTGTCCTAGAATATCAATCGTACGTGTCATCGCCGCCTTTGGGTTCTATCATCGCCGCTGATGCTGACTTGTGTTTGTTCTGTCTTCCTTCGTTGCTGTCAGAATGTTCCGTAATCGCTTTGACTTGGGGACCGAGAACATCGAGCCCGCTGCTGAGATAGATTCTATTAGGATTGCATCGCCCACCGGCGTTTTCCAAAACTATGATGGACTGCATTTCAATCGATCTAGCGCCGTGCCGCCTTACACCCCCCAAGAACTCACACACATACGCACCATCCGGGTCTTCGAAGCTCTCAAACTCAGCGATGAGGCGCTCTCATAGATGTCCCCCACTTCAACCCCACCCCGCTCCAATATACAATACTCCTACGCTTGTCCTACCAAACAACGTTATACTCCATGTCAAGTTAAACTACTACTTATCACATCGACCCCCAGCTTCATCTGCCACTCATTTTCCATCTTGTGTCTATCAGTGTAACAATCACGTCAATCATTTTATCTACCATCTATCATCTTGTATACGGCGGCTAAACGGATACTTTACAATGTAACCCATATCAATCTCACTGAGCAATGCATTACTAGATTTTCAAGGCTTTCTCTACATATGTACACACGTTTAAGCGTCCCACGCGCGTGGCTTCTAAGTTCTAGGTGGTTCGCCGGCAACCCAGGATTCATCAAGATCGGCAGTCAACGTCAACGGGGATATCCATGTCCATAGTTATCAGTGTGAGGAATCAATGACGGTTCAATTATACTTTCATTTCGTAGTGTACCATATGTAACAAACCGATACAACTCCGAGGACACAACAGCAGTTAATTTAAGCAGCAGAAGGAAATGAGCGTGAGGCCTTGAGGGCTCGTTCTTAGGCACAAGAACATCTACAGGGAATACGAAAGAAGAAAGCCTCGCGATACAGCAGGCGTGTGCATGGCGATACGGTGGGTGTGGGGGAAATGAGGGTTCAGAATTCCTGCAAATAGGATTCCATGCTAAAGGGTACGACAACAGTGTAAGGTATACTTTGGTTTAAATACAGACGTGATCAGGTTGATGATGTCGACTCTTTGGAGGCGTAAGGGATTTCGGGTGCGGTGCTGAGCTCGACTTCTTGTCCAACATAGTCGTAAGCGTATTCGCCCATTTCCGTGTCGTCGATGCCGACGATTTCGGTATCTTCGTCGACGCGGAGGCGGAGGCCGGGGATGAAATGCATGATCCATAAGATGATCGTCTGGGAAAGGGGATACTTAGGGATTGGCGAATCGTGTGTAAACTTTGCCACTTACTGTCATGACGAAAGAGTAGCCCATGCCGGCAGCAGAATCAGCTAGCTGATAAGCCAGTTGAATGTAATGGTGGTCAAGCCATCCGCCATCAATAATGGTCCCATCGGCGCCGGCCACGCTTGCTTGAGCGAAGAGACCGGTAAGCAGGTTTCCAACGACTCCACCAACAGCATGAGACGCAAACACCTAATGGGCAAATATAATCAGTAATGTGTACAAAGCATATGTATGGGGTATGGGGGAGTTGATTCTCACATCTAGGGTATCGTCGTAACCGAAAACGAACTTGAGCTGGGTAGCAAAGTTACAGAGGGTGCCGGCCATGAAGCCGAAGAGGACGGCAGCGGCTATTGAGTCCGGATGTTAGCGGTAGTATTCAGTGGGTTGATAAGAAAGATAAGCGTACGTGCGCCTACGAATCCAGAGCCTGGTGTGATGGCCACAAGACCAGCAATGGCTCCGGAGCAAAAACCCACGGTTGACCACTTGCGTTCGATACGGTAGTCCCACAGCATCCAGGTCAATCCGCTGACGCTGGCCGCGAGATTGGTGACAACACATGCCATGGCCGCCCGGAGGTTAGCAGCCAGAGCCGATCCACCATTGAAGCCGAACCATCCAAACCAGAGGAAGACCGTTCCTAGGACGACATACGACGTGTTGTGTGGCTTGTAGGCAAGGCGTTCGCTGCCATATCCGGTGCGTTTTCCGAGGTAGATAGAGATAGCTAGGGCGGCTGTTCCTGATGAAATATGGACGGGAGTTCCACCGGCGAAGTCGAGGCCACCCATGATATAGGACCATCCATTGGGGTTCCATGTCCAGTTGGCGATGGGGTCGTAGACGAGAGTAGACCAGAAGAATACGAAGGCCATAGCGGGACCGAGTCGTGCGCGCTCCGCGAATGCACCAACAGCAAGCATCGGCCTGTGGATGACATCAGTGGCGGAAGGGGTGGATGGAAATTTTACTGACGTGATGGCTGCAAACATCAATTGGTATACGGAAAAGACCAATGCTGGCACACGAGTACTTCCGGCCGAAGGTTGATCCAATACGCCCTTCATGCCAAAGTAACCTGTGGCGCACGCGATTATTGGGATAATCATTGACTAGCACAAGACCGACGTACGGAGGTCCCCAATGAATTTGCTGCCCGTGTCACTGAACGCTAATGAGTAGCCCCAGAAGAACCACTGATATACATCAAGCTCAATTAGCAGCAATCCCAGCAGTATTCCCATGTCCCTCACCTGGAATGATACCACGGCCATGGTTATCATACTCAAGTACAGCATCGATAGAGCATTCTTCCGTCTTAGCAGGCCGGAATAGAAGAATCCGACGCCAGGAATCATAATCCATACCAATGCCGTTGAAGTCAAGACCCAAGCGATATCGCCCACGTTATACACGGGGACCTCATCTGGTCCAGCGAAATTGTTGACGAGGTCTCCAGCTGCAAGCACTTCAGATCGCTGTGTGTGTAGGAAGTCATAGAAATACTCACAGTCAGTGAAGGTAACGTTCACCATCGTAAGAACCTCTTAACGCGAGGTATGGGGTATTTACAGCGGAGGGAAGAAAGGGATCAGAAGGAGCGTGTTTGATAGGGGGGTGTCTTAAAACTTCGTTCGCACCAGCGAGGGAAGTGATGGAAGCAAGAGTTCTGTGTGGGCTGGGTATAAAGTGGGATCGACGAGTGGAGATAACTGAATCCGTCTTGGGCTTGCTCTAAGACAAACACATGCAGTGATGGAGGATGATTGATCCCAACTCCCATATTTTGGACAAGATTTGGACAAAGACAGCTCATCAGGACAGGATTTTAGATGACATGGTGGGAAACGGCCCTGAAATCTGGGCAATCGTATCTCGGTGGAGTGCAGGATGCTCCCTGAGAGTTATCGCCCAAAGCTGGCATTCTTCCGTGATCGGACGCTAATGTGGCCTCGCTGTGCAGCACATGGACCGAACGTAAAGCGAAACGAGAGTGAGACTGGCGTCTGCGAGGGCCAGGGGCCTCCAGGGGCCTGATGGACACCTTTCATCGAGGCGGGAGAAGCAGATGGCCCGAAGCAAACCGTCTTCTTGCGAAGGAGAGAAAACCTGTTCGGACGTGGCGGATGTACGTTCAATCTCCGTCAGTTCTCCGATACCTATTTAAAAACAGCGGCACCCACATGCTGATGGAATGATAGGGGACCTGTGCACACTGCAAGAAGTAAATACTCTGGCAATCGAGTTAAAGGCGGATGCGCGACCGACATGTAAGCTAAGAGAAAGCGATTGCACGAAGCCTGCAATAACTCCAGGCAAGTGGGCCGACTGCAAAAACTCGGATTGATTGTTGCGATTTCGCTGGGGAGTTCATTGTTTCTGTCGAGGTGATACCGGGGACTATCACTCTCCGATGGTTAGTTGGTACCCGCAGGAATCGTTCCAAAAACAAAGGCTATGATAAGTCTTGACCGTCACGGTGGATTCGTTCACGTCGCATTCCGGGCGTGTTCTCAGCAGAAAGCCCGTATTGCTGTAAAGATTCTGATTACGCGACCGCTCGAGTAACAGCCGGTAAGTTTCCCTTCTGTATCAGTCCTACATGTGGCAAGAATAGCGACATCCCGGTGAATATGTGAAGTAGATGTGCAAATTCCCGACGGCAGGCCTAGTGGAACTTTCTCAGGATTCGTAAGTTCGTTCCTTAATTGCCTGGGTCGTTCTCACTCAGTTTGTACACGCAGAGTGCCGCAGCTTATCGATTATCTTTCAAATACGTGGCATGAGCCAGCTAGATACAGTTTCTCAAGCCAGCATTGGTCAAAACTGCAAAGTCGCATGTAACTTTACTGCATGTATTTAGAATTATTGAAGCTCACCGGTTGCCTTAACCCAGACCGCCAGGGAGAATCGTTCGGGTTTGTCGCGAAACTTACTAACCGTTGCAATCCTGACAAGGCTGGGGTGGCAGTTGCTGGTTTGAGTGTCACCCAACAGTGCCGACTCTGGGGGCGATAGGCTATTAAGCGCTCGTCTTCGTTTCGAATTTACCATTATAGTACGTCCAAGGTCAGACTTCGTTCTATTTCCTGAGTGATAGCAATTTATGAGTGAGCAATATCTTGGATCGATGGATGTGAAAACCTGCTTCCAGAAGAACTTCCTACATCTGACGAGCAGGAGGTAAGTACGTCAAGATCAGAAAGAACATCGAGCTATAAATTACATATCAGAGAACATATCGATGCATTATGGCATGCCGCGATCAACCAAGCCGGACCACGTCGAAATCAAGTTATTGGTCGTATGCCGGCGGGGGTGCTAGATCACGCGTACAGAAGCCCCCCTCAGCTAAAGGGCTCGTAGAGTTAGACGTTCGCACTGTGGGAGTGGTGAAACTACTAGACGACGCAGTAACCGCGGCTGATGATTTTGTAAAGGGTGTGGCATTTCCCGTAGAGGCTGAAGTGGCGAGTGTGGGTGACGAGCTGTTATATGTTACTGGCTGCTGACCATGGCGAGACGCGGGGGTGGGGAAGAGCGCCTGGATGAGTGGGTGTACTCACTTTGACACTTTGGCGCTTGACGCGGAAGCAAAGGCAGGCGTGGTGGTGGTGGTGGGGGTGCTCAGGTATACATATGAGTCGACCGCGCCCGGCGGCCTAGTGTCATCGATCGACGAACCCCAAGAGAAGCATCACACTGCTTTCGCCGCCAGAGGACGAACAGCGAGATTCCTGCGATCAAAGTGGCGGACACGGGGCCATTAACGAGACCTGCAATGAGCGGAGTCGATGATGAATTGGATGCGTTGCCTTCTGCGCAGGACGTCGGTGTGTGGTCCTCAACGGTGTAGCTATGTCATAGGTTCTGTTGATCGACTGGAAACGGCGGATTCCAACTCGGAAGCTTACATGGAGCCATCGACTATAGTGTACGGCGCAGGTCCACGCGTGTTGTTCAGCGGTTTGCCATACAACCACTAGGCTGTGTGGAACGTTATACAGGCCCGTAGCACCCCATCTAGCGACACTAACCTCCGACTCATAAATATTGGGAACGACCGTCGTTTGGAGATCCACGACCTCAGGTGGCCGTCTGTCCAGCGTCCAAGGTAGCCGCAATCGGGATAGAGAACAGGCATAGGAAGTTGACGCCAACACCTCCCGCACTCAACCTAGGTAAGTACAAAACAAGTGCTGTTCTTCGAAGTGAATACTCACCGGTGAACGCGAATGTTGTGCTGCCGTTTATATCACGGTTGGTCGCATGCGAACCCTCGTGGCTGAATATATTTGGATTGCTTCGTCCCCATCTCCCATCATAGTGCACGAGGGAAGGTTCGAAGTATCGTCGATAGTGATGTTTAGAGCCGAACGAATTTCTACAACCTGGCGAAGAACTCACGACACACGGATAATAAGCTAAAGGCCCTTCATTGTCGTGAATAATGTATAGAGAATCCTTAGACTCTACAAGCACAGTACGAACACCGCCATCATGATTTGAAAGTCGAAAGACGATATGAATTCTTGAAAGAGGATAAAAAGTACATTACGGGTGGTTGCTTTCGTTGGTGTTCCCATAAGGTAAAGCTGAGGGCGATCGCGGCTGATAATCATCAAACCCGACCGTAGTGACTCCCAGAGTCCGCACGTTCCTGTACTAGTTCACCTTGACCATAGCGTCGTTGAAGATATAATCTAAAGGAATCGCGCTGGTTTGCGATTGTTCCTCGCATTTCTCATTTTGTAGCTACCCTGTATAGATGTGGTAGCGGATGTAGCGGATGGATGGTCGGCGTCATCATTGTGAAGGCTCATGCCCTTGGAGTTTCTTGGCATTGCCGCTGGCAACTCTGAGCGGAGCTACCTATTGATTGTTTGGCCTATGCGGTAGTTGACCACTGGGAGTTCTGGGGTTGACATAAGTGCTTAGGAGATGTCCAGTACAATCACCTTTAGATTCTGATGGTCGAAATCGGGAACCACTACTTGCTGAGAGGTTGCGCGAACGGACGACCATAATTGATGTCTGGCATGGTTTCCAGCTGGAACCAGTAATATTATTCCGAGAGGCTGTAAGATGAGCATGTGTCGTCGTCTGCATGACTCCATGGGCACCGAGCATCACCTTTGATGATGTCGATGATGGTTCAGTCGGAAAAGTCCAACCTCAACGAGTATGAAGGTGAGGTGAATATGCACAAATTCCCACGCCCTAATCCAAACCTCAGGAGAGGGTTTGACTTTTGAAGTTGCATTTGTGTCGAGGGAAGACGGTGAAGCATATATCTTTACTTTCTGAGAACAACTGATTATCCTGATGTGAAATGCGGCTGTCTCCTTGCGAATGTCGGCCGTGTTTCTTGCATCACCTTCACAAATTGCGAAGTGATGCTTTTGCCACAGTTCGCACCAATAAACGGCAGATCGCGATTCGATATGAACATAGAGCAGCCCTCCAACACAAGTCCAACACAAGAGACAGATCGCACTCGCCAGAATCTCCAAGTATTCTCGGAATCGCTACATTCCGTTATCTCGCTCCACATTGTGATCGGGCATGATTATGTCGAAATGCCGACCCGTAGATATAGAACTCCAGTTGCGCCACTGGCCCACTACGACCTATCTCTTCTAGCGCATATCATCCCTAGGTGGCTATGGACAGCCTAAATTATCGGAATTTGTACTTTGCCAAGGACACTCAGCTGGGGTAGTAACCGGGGTGAATAGCTCTTTATATCGTCTTGGTGTGATACTGAAGAGGCCTGATTTAACTGCAATGATGGGTCAATAGATTGATGAATTCCTCGTTTGATGATTATCGAGTGCGATGTTAACCACTGTTCTCTCCATTTCAAGACGGCGGATATTACTTACAATGTCTAAATTAGGTTTGGTGGAACTTGGCCTTCGTCTGATCCCCAATACTGAAGGCGATGGTCGCGGCCCACGGGATGCTCTAATTACCAGCATTCGTGGAAGCATCACTTTACCAGCTTGATGTACTCGAGTCTTTTCCAACGACCTTCTGATGATACATATTGTGAAAGACATCATATTCTTCCAACCGAGCAAAAAATAGCGCGAACCCTATCGTTAGAGTAGAGAACGCCAGCGAACCTATAACAGCTGTATTGAGTTCTCCTGCCCATGCGTCCCACCGTCTCGTCATAATTTCCCGTCGTGCACGGAGAGGATACCACTCGCCTGGAGACCCTCCCCTTCGTCCTTCCAAGATGGTCTAGGCACCCTAAACCCATCTCCCAGAACAGCGTACGTGATATCACCGAGGCGCAAGATAGGCCGAAGCTGCGTGGGATTAACTGCATCGCGTTTGTCTGTCAAGACATCGTTGCGGACGTGGATGTATTTCACCCGTCCCAGGATCAATGTTGTCGTTGTTTCGCCAGTCTCAGGATGTACGATGTCAATTGCTTGAAATAGCTGTTATCGCGTAGTGTCAGGTGGTTAGGTACTATTCGCGAGACGTAAGTACCTCGCATTCCATGCTGAAGGCACTCTCCTTGACGCGGGGTGCCTTGACGTGAACCTTAAGCAATCATTGAGCGTGAGTATCTATCAAAATTAAACATGAAATACCCTCTACCGTGTCAGCTGGAGTCAAACCACTGATCGGCCACTCCCCGACGTCGGGGGGTGCGTCGATCGAGCAGGCATTGGCATTGTGGATCCAACTCTCGCTGATGATGTTGACCGTGAAACCTTTAGTCTCCTTGATATTAAGCGCCGTATCTTTCGATTTCCCAGCGATAACGTTACAGGAGATGGATATGATGGGGGGATTGTGCGTTACCTAGAAATAGGCATCAATACAGCTGCATCAGTCCCCACGACTCGAAGTTAAGCGAAGTCAATTAGCACTACGCGAACTTACTGTATTGAACCAGCTTGTTGGATAGTTCTGTCAATATTGCTGGACCTTGGAACACAAGGAAACTCCACCGGACCCACCTGAACGGTGCAAGGTTCTTGATCCCCGCTTCTGATACGCTTGAGACGAAAGCAACAGGTCTGGGTACGATGCCACTGGTAAGGAGTTTGTAAAACACCCTAGAAAGGGGTGGTAACCAAGTTGGCTCGATATACTTGCAAAGCCTTGTCTACACATAGGGAGTAGACCATTGAACACACGTACCCCGGTGCCTCCTTAGATGCATCGAAGCCAGTCCAGCCACTCTCCTCGCCAGCCAGCCACTTCTTCCCTTGTTCGGAAGAATCAACGCCATCTCCAAAGGACCAAGAAGGGACTGGAGGGGTGGTATGTTTGAAATGAGAACCGTGATAGGGGGGGAGATCGCTTTCCATCTAGGCAGTAAGTGTCTTTCTTGACAATTTGTTGGATGAGTGACGAAAAGTGGGGACGTCCTCACGATTGTGGCAGGAGACCACCGGTCAACTTTCCACCACCGGTCCGTCCCGGATCTAGTAATCACTGTTCCGTATTTAAGTGTTCAGATGTTCACTATTTGCACATAGACGATGGCTAAAAGTTCATGTGGACCCAGCGACGCGTCAATATTAGGTTCAGAAGGAATACGACTGCCTTCATGGGGTTGATGTTTCTCAGATTCGAGGACGCAACTTCAATCCCCTGCTTTCCCATTGCTATCATGGGTATGGCGGGGTGTCACTTCAGCTGAAGCTGGCAGTAAGTACCTATACTCGCGTGTCATTCGAAATTTACTCGGCTCACCTTCTACATCAACCTCCGTGAGTCGGGTCTCAACTTCACTGCGGTTTACCGCTTGTGAGCAGTCCATGGCCAGGAGAGCAGTCCATGGCCAGGAGAGCAGTCGTTCAATTCATTCATAATTTCACGTAGGAAACATAGAATGCATCGGGGTCCAGTGGGTGGTAAGGCTTGGGGGACAACAACAGCGCCAGACCTACACGTGATGATTTGTCCCTGTCCTCTATCCTTAGCCTCCTTGCATCCAAGCAAGCAAGTATTCATTACTTTGACAATGTGTGCATTTACGAAGTTGTCCGTGACTTAACTATATTGTAGTCTACAATAATGAATTACAAAGCAGTGTGATGAACGACAACCTAATCCCAGTTCTTGATCTTCATGGTCCCATGCTCTTGCAGATTGGTGTGGAACTAGAGCAGAACGTCAGCATACACGATTGTTGTAGAGAAACAATAAATCTCACCTTGAACGCATTCTATGGGTAGCGTGACGGAGACAATCAACATACAGTTCCTCACTCAAAGATTATGGATAGCGTACCTTCAAAATATGTGGCTCGTGGCCTGCGCCGCTCTTCAAACACTCGAAGAGTGCTCGATCATAGTACTCCTTCAGTGAATCCTTGTAGTCCGGATGGGCACACTTCTCGATGATGAGGGGTGCACGTTCGCGTGGCGATAGTCCACGGAGATCAGCTAGGCCTTGCTCCGTAACGACGATATCAAGATCGTGCTCGGTATGATCAATGTGTGAGGCGAAGGGAACAATGCACGAGATTCCAGTTGGATCAGTCTTCGTGGGACGGCTAGACAAACGGACCAAGGTAATTAAATTGCAGAACAATCAAACACACGGGGTAGTGGAATTCCACGAACCTGGATGGAGTATGCATGATCGACAGCTTGGCATTTCGCAAGAAGTCACCAGATCCACCAAGACCGTTCAACATCCTGGTATGCATCGTTAGCGCCGCACCCAAGTAATGGACAGAGAGATGCTAACCTTGAGCCAAGAGCACAGGTCGAGTTGGCGTGTGCATAGATATCGACCTCGAGAGGCGTGTTCATAGCGATAACACCGAGGCGACGGATGATTTCGGGAGCATTAGCAACTTGCTGCGAGCGAAGGAGCAGGCGATCCTTGTAATTAGCCCAATCTGCGCGTAATGTTAAACATGAGTGACTTGAGATGATAAAAGAACATACTTTTGTAGAAGTGGTTGAACCTAGGGAGGAAGTTAGTTCAAGTTCATAACTTCGGCTTGGTATGAAGCTCACCCGTCAGGCGAGAAACGGATCGATGTCGCCGTGGCAAAGTCCAATTTGCCTGAGTCGAAAAAACGAATGAAAGTATCTAGACGCAAGAGACGTCGTAAGGACAGTCCCCTTTCAACAGCAAATCGTCCACGCACCCTGAAGAACCTCCGTCCAGACTTGCACCTTTTCGAAGGGACCATCGGCAAGACCGCCAATGATTGAGTTGGCAACGTTTCCGATACCAGATTGCAGTGGTAGTAAAGATTTAGGTAATCTACCGGCCGCGACTTCCTCCGAAAGGAAGTGAATGAGATGTTTAGCAATAGCCTTGGATTCGTCGTTCTCGGGGGCATTGGTACCCGTATTATCAGGGTGCGTACTCTCCACGATGGCGACAACACGTTCTGTGTCGATGGGGATTGCGGTCGAGCCAATTCTGTTTGAAGGGTGGGTGATCAAGTAAGGCTGCTTGTTGGGCGGAGCGAAGGAATGGACGATGTCGTGGAGACCCTCCAAATTGGGTACACGCGTGTTGACCTCAATGATGATTTTTTCGGCGGATTCGAGAATCTCAGGAGTAGCTCCTACGGATGCACCAGGTACGATATGGCCTTCTTCGGTGATGGCGGTCGCTTCTACGATTGCCCAGTCCAAAGGTTTGCGAGGGTCACCCCGCTGTTTCTTTAAACTGTAATAGCCGTATGTGAGGTCTTGAGGGAACATACTAGATCCTTCAGTGTAAGCGGCACATCGAACACAAGACGACGCCGAACTTACCTTAGATGCTTGTCGGCAAATTCTATCCTCCCTGCATTGATTCCTTTGCTGACCTCCTTACCGACTTGATGCGGATACCGCCGAGCAATCCTATAATGTTTGAAGATGAATCGTGATAGTTGTTTATTTCGTGAATTTGACGCACATATCCATATGTGCCCATCTGTCTTCGACTTCGGGGCCCACCGAGGCACCGACGAAAAGGTTGAACTTGCGCTTCGTAGCAGGGTCGGCTTGAAGGTTATTTTGCTCAGTGTGATCTGCGATGGCCGTCGGTACGCATTTTGGGTAGCCCACTCCGGTGAAGCCCGACCATCCAATCTACGAAGTTCATGCTGGTTAGCGAGCGCAGTGATCATCATCGTGAGTGATAACATACGTAGTCGTCGTTCTAGACATCACCGTCGCCATCAGTAACAACGTTTCCTTCTCCATCAGGCCATATGATCACACACCTTGAATAGCGGGGCGAGGGCCTCAGGGCTCGTCAGCTTCTTCAACATGCTTGGTCTTCGAACGCGCTCTCTGAGCGCTGCAGAGACACCAGGCCCAACATTTCGCAGAAACGGCGTCGCGCGCATCGTCTTCGGTTGTGTGCCAGCAAAGGTGATGATGGGGTCTGAAAATGGGGAAGCGGGGTGTGACAATGTTCCCCACACTCGCTTTGATTCTTCTTATACGTTACGCGATCGGTAGCCGAAAACGGAATTATAATCTGCCACTGACCTGCCGTCGACCCGAAGCCTGGATGTTCTTTGGCCCACATATTCCAGAACCTCCGCCCGCTGCCGTCGACGCCCTGGGCTCTGCCATTGGCCAGATTTTCGGCGTGTTACACAGAATCACGCTCATTCGACCGCCAACGACGCGACGCTATAGGACTACGTCGGTCACCGCAATTATGCATATTTTTATTATTTTTTCAAATTCATCGCCGCTTCGCTTATGGTTCGGAATCGTTAGTTTTCGAAGTACACGCCATGCCAAGAGATCATTTCCACTCTGGAATTCAGAGCTCAGAATTGGCTGCAACGGCAACTTGGACGGATCCGATACGGTGATTGAGATCCATGGGTACCCAAATATGTCTGGATTTCCACGTCGTCTAATGCCTTGTTTGCTGGATCCCAAAGATGAGCCCTCACTTTGCCCCGAGTGACTCACTACGTAAAGGCGGGGCGGAACGGAGGGCCAATGCTGAAGCTAGCGACTTCCGATGTCGTTACCTGCTGCTCAACTGACCATATTATTAGAAGCGTTGGTTGAAGTGATCCGTAGAATGAATGAGAGTAAGCACCGAATACCGATTTCTTCCTGTCCGGTCGCTCGTGGTTGAGCCGGTGGATTGTGACCTCCAACCAATCGCTACGGTGGGCTCTGTCACGCGTCATCTAGGTCAGAAGCTTGCGCCTTTCTTTCTAGTAATCGCGACGCATCTTCGCCTGGAGTATTGAGTATTGGATTCCTCTCGGATCTCATGGGACCACGCGTGGTAGATATACTCGCACTTGGCGTGTAAAGAGTCGGCGATGATGGTTGATTACAGGCAACAATTAAAACCGATTTAACGACGCAATAGAGGACACGCCAAGTCCCTAGTGGGTTGTCAGGCAGAATGGAAAGTCTCAACAGCTTTGGTAGGATCATGTAAATTGACGACAATCCACAGAAAGTCCGCAGCGAGGAGAGCAGGCGAAGAAGTAGGGGAGGCAATCTGTGGGGCTAGGGGACTGGCTTAGGGGCTGCCCGAATAGCGAGCAAAGGAACCCCCGACCTTATTTAAACTATGCTACAGTTGAGGACGGCCAAAGACCACAAAAAAAAAGTTTCCTATGGCTTCGGACTTGCGCGGAATAGATAGAGTAGTTGGAATGGAGGAGAATGATCCGTGGTTCAATAAATTTGGTCGAGCCGTTGACCCAAAAAAGGCAATATATTATTGAGCAAGCCAAAAAAGTTGGCCAACCCAAAAATAGCTAAAATCACGAAGAAAAACGGCAATCACTTCCTTTTCATGTGTTACCACCTTTCCTTGATTATGAGAGCTTTTGGTCAAGCTGTTCAACTGAAAATAAATCACCAAGTTTGATCAGATATCAGTAAACTGATGGTGGAAGGTGTCTACAACACAACACTCAATGAGAACGAGACAAGGATAAAAGGATCAAACTATGGGTTTTTGATATGAGAATACAGGAAGAAGGGAACATAAGCAAGTAGATACAGTGATCAATGTTTATATAGTAACGTGTCTGTAAGGGGACACTCCTATTTTCTCCTATTCCCCCTGTCCCCTCCCTTCCACGGACTCTTACCTACCTTCCCTTTGTTCCCCTTTGTTCCCTTTTGTTCCCTTTCCTTTCCACTTCCTTTCCGCCCACCCCTTTTGCATCCGAGCCACGTCCAGTGACTCCGGAGTCTTCCTGCACTTCGGACTCGCTCGGACTCGTATATACACTTCGGGGCTCGTCCGGGTTACCTCTATCCTCTTTCCCCACTTCATTACTCTTCGCTCTCACTTTCCCAAGTCACTGGCACGACTCCTGTGCATTTACCCTCCACTTCATTATCACATGTTTCCTTGTACCTTGTGATATTTGTTCGGACTTGTGGCTGGTGTACTGTACAGTTATCCTGCATTCCGCTCATGCTATTACAGTATATACTTTGCTTCCTAACAGGGAGAATCCTTATGCTGTTCTCTTTGGATTCTCCCTCTGCTAGGTGAGCAGCTCTCTCATGTATTGCAGTTAGTCTTATTCATCCCTTTGGATTCTCCCTCTGCTAGGCTTGCACTGTGCGGCTATCTTGAGGTTGCCCTTACACTTTCCAGGAGTACCTCAACGAGTTCTGGGACCTTGTAGACCAGTCTGGATACACCGAGGGCTCCAACATCACGATGAAGTTCCGTCGTGGATTGGACTCCATCATCCAGAGCCGCGTTGCTGAGTCCAGACTGTCCGGACGAGGATGACTTTGAGGAATGGTACAGGGCAGCACAGCGGGTTGCTGACAACCGTGCTGCTAACCAGTCCTTTCACTTTGGCGTGCACTCCGGAAACTCCGGACACTCCGGATCCCTCGTCCGACCAGCAGCCAGCTCCGGAGTTGCTCGGACTCCTGTGGGTGTGCTCCCCGCGCCTCGGACTCAGCTCCCGCCTCTGCAACCCCGCTTCCAACTTCCGCCTCCTCCGAAGGCTCTCTCACCCGGCGTCCCCATGGACGTCGACCACACCCGCTCCCGGCCCGCTGCTTCACAGCTCTGCTACCGATGCGGCAAGCCCGGCCACATGTCCCACGAGTGCCCACTTCGGTACAACGTCCGGTTCATGACCACTGAGGAGCGGATGTCCGCCATTGAAGATCTCCTGACCGCGGCCGATGTTGTAGAAAGTGCGGGGACCTCGGAAGGAATAGACGATGAGGGAACGGCCCCGGTTGAGGAATCAGACACGGCGGATTTTGTCCGGACCAACGAGTGATCAGTGCGACCTCGTTGGTAAATAACCGATTTGCTTGTCTTAGCGTAGACGAAGTAGACGATTCCGATCACTCCGATGATTCGTCCAACGCTAAGCAAGCAACTCCGGTTACAATCTGCACGCTCCGAAGGTTTCGCCCGCAGTGGGAACGGCAGCTACCCAGTAGCTATAAGATCTCCGCGCTGCCCGGCAAGCTTTTGCTAGATATACCTGTTGAAGCGCAGAGCACGGATACACAACACCGATGCACCCTGCAGGCCCTGGTGGACTGTGGAGCCACCGGAGTCTTCATGCATCCGCGCTTCGCTGATGCCCATGGTTTCACCCGGCGCAAGCTGTCCGCCCCGATCCCGGTCTTCAATGTCAACGGATCACCAAACGAAAACGGATCCATCTCCGAAGTCGTGGACCTTGTACTCCGGTTCAAGGATCACACGGAACGGATGCTGTTCACGGTCACTAACATCGGACGCCAGGACATCATCCTCGGATACACCTGGCTTCGGAAGCACAACCCCGAGATCGACTGGCAGACGAAGGAGGTGACCATGAGCCGCTGTCCGTCCGGATGCGATACCTGTCAGAAGGAGTTCCGCCATGACAAGCTGACCCGACGCAAGGAGTCCGTGCGACTCCAGGAGTGTCATACGGGTCCAATGCCAATGGTCGAGGAACTGCACTCGGACGATCTCCCGCAGCTTCAGGACTGCGAGGTCGACGACGAGGACGATGAGGCCACAACTCCGGATGACTCCGGACTTGAGAAGGGCGACCGTATCTTCGCAGCCATTCCTCCTCCGACTCCGGAGTACCTTCGGAGTCTTCGGGAAGAACATGTCCGAGCTTCGGAGACGGTCTCGCAGCGCCTCGCATTGGCTTTCCAGCGCAACAAGCCCCACGATCCTCGGAACAGCGCAGTCCCGGACTTCCTCCGAGAATTCGAGGACGTCTTCGCCAAGGAGTCCTTTGATGAACTGCCCATGCCGCGTCCGTGGGATCACGCCATTGAGCTAATGGACAGAGCGGAACCGACCTCTACCAAATGCTACCCGCTGTCCCCTGCGGAGCAGAAACAGCTGGACGAGTTTCTGGAAGAAAATCTCCGGACTGGTTGGATCCGCCCCAGCAAGTCGCCCATGGCTGCCCCGGTGTTCTTTGTTAAGAAGAAGGACGGATCGCTCCGCTTGGTCCAGGACTACTGGAAGCTCAACAGCATGACGGTCAAGAATCGGTACCCACTTCCACTCATCTCGGACTTGGTGGATAAACTCCGGAACACTCGCTACTTCTCCAAGCTCGACGTCCGGTGGGGTTTCAACAACGTCCGGATCAAGGAGGGCGACGAGTGGAAGGCCGTGTTCCGGACTACGCGCGGACTCTTCGAACCGTTGGTAATGGTCTTCGGACTAATGAATAGCCCATCCACCTTCCAGACCATGATGAACGACCTCTTCCGGGAGCTCATTACGGAAGGTGTGGTCATTATCTATCTGGATGACATTCTGATCTACACCAAGACGCGCGAAGAGCATCGCCGGGTTCTCAAGCGAGTCCTAGAGATCCTCCAGCGGAACAAGCTCTTCCTCCGAGCGGACAAGTGCGACTTTGAGCAGACCAAGGTGGAGTATCTCGGAGTTGTCATCTCTGAGGGTAAGATCGAGATGGATCCCGTGAAGGTTTCCGGAGTCACGGACTGGCCGACCCCCCGGACTAGGACTGAACTCCAATCCTTCCTCGGGTTCGTCAACTTCTACCGCCGCTTCATCAAGGACTACTTGCATATCGCCCGGCCTCTCTTCGACCTCACTTGCGCAAAGGAATGGCAGTGGAACGACTCCGCTCAATCCGCATTTCTTCAGATCAAGGAGCTGATCACTTCGGAGCCCGTTCTGGTCTTTCCAAAGGAGGATCGGCCATACCGGGTTGAAGCGGACTCGTCGGATTACACTACGGGTGCGGTCTTGTCACAGCTGGATCCGGATGATGGTAAATGGCATCCTGTCGCATTCTACTCTAAAAGTCTACAGGCTGCGGAGCGGAACTACGAAATACACGACAAGGAGATGCTTTCAATCATCCGGGCACTCGAAGAATGGCGA